TCCTGGGAAGAGCACCAAGTGCTGGCCCTGCCCGTCTTGTTGGCTGGTTGTCGTCTCTTTGGCTGGGACAAGGTGGTCATTGGCAGATGTTTCTGCTCTGAATTGCTCTGGGTTGAAATCGTGCAGAGATCTCCCTTATCTTTGTTCAGGTTTCCAAGAGAGTCAGGTTTTGGAAGAGGCAGGAGGTTTTCTCGAGTGTCAAGAAGTGAACCTAGGAAGTGATTCCTGCATATTAAGCTTTCTCTTTAAGTATTCTTGTTAATTTTCTTTAGGATGGTTTGCTGGGCATCCTTATCTGTACTTCCAAGAGGAAGTTTCATAACATTTTCCCTACCCATCAGTATCCCATTAAAACTTTGTTGTGTAACCTAAAAGTTGTTCTGCTTTCATGGTTTCCTCTTGCAGCTAATTCTGAATGCCCTAGATGGCAGTTCGGCAAGAAACGCGTCCAGGCTGCATGGTCTTGATTTTGTTATTGTATAAATTGAAAACAACATTTGAAATTAAATCCTATTGTTAACTTCCCTTTAAATAATAGTTGCCTAATTACGCGTTTTAAGAATATTTATCTAATGCCACAATACTGTTCAGAAAGCCTGTGCCTATGGTTGTATTGTAGTTAAAATGTCAGTGCAGTCTCTGGCTGTATTTAATACTTCTTGTGCTATAGACATTGTGAATCAATGGAGTAAAATACATGTGTGCTTGGCTGCTTTAGTAATAAAGCATGCTTATGGGACTGACCCTGCATGGGTGTGATGGGAGGTCTGCTGGAGCCCTTGCCAGCAGGCAGCAGCTGGGTGTTAATGGTAGAGGAAGCAGTGCAGGCAGCGGTGTGTCCCCCCAGCAGATCACTCCTTGCTGCCTGCACTGAGATGCTGAGCCTCAGGTCAAAGTATGCACACATCTGGTTTGTTTTGCTAGCGACAATTGGAGCCAGGTGTGAGCTGATCCCCAAGATTCACTGTCTGTCCACAGTAATGGGAAAAATGCAGCTGAAGGCCTAATAAAACAGGGCTTCTGGGTCGGGGCAGCTGGTGGAGGCGTCACTTGTGCTGAAAGAAAGGCATCTTTCTGGGCACGTGATTTTCCTTTGAGAGTGCTACATAGTGGTCATCAGATTTAGGTCTTTTTCTTCTCTGTTTTGATGTTGGCTTTAGCTCTTAGCTATTGTTATTGCCTTCTTATACGTACTTTATTGACTGCATCACCCGTGGCAAATCCTGCTGTCGATAATGAGGTTGGGTCTCTATTAAACAAAGCCGGTGTGCCTGCTCTTCTGGCAGCTCAGTGGCATTTTTGATGCCACTCAGCCCACAGTCTTCTAGAACATCCCTCGTCTGGGCTGGTGTGCTGGGGTTAGAATTTGCTCCGTCTCTTCGTTTTCCTTTGAGCTCATTTCCCACACTGTCATGCTGGCTCGCGTCTGCCTTCCATTGTATCAACTGCTGCCTGAGCTGCCCAGAAACATAAAGCTGTTTGCCTGCTTGGCTCATATAGTGGCTTTCCGCGAGACTTCTGAATCCAATCTGAGCTCGCTATCTGGTTGTTTTGAAACAGCAATTTCCATTTGAAGGATCCTTTTATTCTATCATACGCACGCATCCCGTGCTACGTGCCTACAGGAGCTGCTGCCAGCAATCTCAGGCATTTGCTGTTTTACACTGACATTCTAAAATGACAGGGGAGCCGTTGCTTTTTCATCATTTCTGCATGGCAGTGCAGTGCTTCAATATCATACTTAGCATCTTGACCAGAATGTTCAGCATGCTCCATTTTCATGCCCATAGTCCGTAGTGTAGGGTGCGGCTTTCATACCTGAACAGCATTTGGGTGTAATGGAAAAACTGCCATCATACTTACTATATATGGTGTCTTTTTAATTGTTTTTATTATTATTAAAGCCCACGGGAAGCAGGAGCATAGCAAAGAGTTCTGTACTGGCTACCTGGAGGCTTTTTTCCTGGCGATGCTGTGCTGTTGGGAAAAAATGAGCTCAGGATCCCTGTACCACTCAGCTGTTTGCCTGCTCACTATAGGATGGGCAGTAGTAATCCCTGATCCACGGTAGATGTTTCTTACATTGTTTTACAACAAATAATCCTCTTAATTTCTCTGACTAGCAGCTGGCATTGCTACAACCGGTGCCTAAAGTCACGAGCAGCTCACTCAGCCTGCTGGCCCTGCGAGCCAGGGGCATTCATCCCCATGGGGCTGATGTTCAGCACAGCACTGCAGATGCTAACCTGTCCTTCCTCTCTTCCAGATGCAGCAGCTGTTTTATGAAAACTATGAGCAGAACAAAAAAGGCTACATCAGAGACCTGAGGAACAGCAAAATACATAGAGCTATAACGTTGCACCCGAACAAGAACCCCCCCTACCAGTACAGACTGCACAGCTACATGCTGAGCCGCAAGATAGCAGAGCTGCGTCACCGGACCGTGCAGCTGCACCGAGAAATTGTCCTGATGAGCAAATACAGCAATACAGAAGTCCACAAAGAGGACCTGCAGCTGGGCATGCCGCCCTCCTTCATGCGGTTCCAGCCTCGGCACCGGGAGGAGATCCTGGAGTGGGAGTTCCTTACAGGCAAGTACCTGTACTCTGGTGCTGATGGGCAGCCCCCTCGCAGGGGGATGGACTCATCCCAGCGGGAAGCGCTGGATGACATCGTGATGCAGGTCATGGAGATGATCAACGCCAACGCCAAGACCAGAGGGAGGATCATTGATTTCAAGGAGATACAGTATGGCTATCGCAGGGTAAACCCGATGTATGGAGCAGAGTATGTGCTTGACTTGTTACTGCTTTACAAAAAACACAAGGGCAAGAAGATGACCGTCCCCGTTAGGAGGCACGCGTACTTGCAGCAGACCTTCAGCAAGATCCAGTTTATGGAGCATGAAGAGATGGACGCCAAAGAGCTGGCCAGCAAAATCAACCAGGATTCTGGGTCCTTGTCTTTCCTCTCCAACTCGCTGAAGATGTTTGTTCCATTCCAGCTCAGCAGATCCAGGGTAGAGAGGAAGGAACTCAAAGACCAGAAGATCAACATCCTGATTCCTCTCTCTGGACGTTTTGATATGTTTGCAAGGTTCATGGGGAATTTTGAGAAGACGTGCCTCATTCCCAACCAGAACGTCAAGCTGGTTGTCCTGCTCTTCAACTCCAACTCCAACCCTGACAAAGCAAAACAAATTGACCTGATGAGAGAGTACCGCTCCAAATACCCCAAGGCTGACATGCAGGTTTTACCGGTGTCTGGGGAGTTTTCGAGGGCACTGGCTCTGGAAGTCGGATCCTCTCAGTTCCAGAACGAGTCTTTACTTTTCTTCTGCGATGTTGACTTAGTGTTTACCACAGAATTCCTCCAGAGGTGTCGAGCCAATACGGTTTTGGGTCAACAAGTATACTTCCCCATCATTTTTAGCCAGTACGATCCAAAGATTGTGTATAGTGGAAAGGTTCCTAGTGACAATCATTTTGCCTTCACCCAGAAAACAGGTTTCTGGAGGAACTATGGCTTTGGTATTACCTGCATTTACAAAGGTGACCTTATTCGAGCAGGGGGCTTTGACGTCTCCATCCAAGGTTGGGGCCTCGAAGACGTTGACCTTTTCAACAAAGTCATTCAAGCCGGCTTAAAAACTTTCCGAAGCCAAGAAATTGGAGTAGTCCACGTGCATCACCCTGTTTTTTGTGACCCCAATCTTGATCCAAAACAATATAAAATGTGCTTGGGGTCCAAAGCTTCCACGTATGGGTCCACACAGCAGCTGGCTGAAATATGGTTTGAAAAAAACGACCCCAGTTTTGGGAAAAGCAGCAATACTAATGGCTCAGTGAGGACAGCCTAATATCCAGCTATGCTGGAAAAGACTTTTTTTTTAATTATCTAATTTATTTTTGGGAAAATGTTTTTTGATAATTCACTTTTAAAAGACCACACAGGATCTATTTTAGCAATCATTGTTGTTTTCTTACAAAGCGCTCCCTTGGAGAAGGACGAGGCCGTTGGTTTTTCTGTTGTTGTCTTTTTGTTTTTGAACGAAACTGTGATCAATATTTGCCTTCAGACCAACCAACCCAACCCAACCGTTCCGGAGTTACCTGAGCGAGCTGCAGGCGCCTGACTTGAATTACAATTTCCTTAGGAACAAAAGATTGTTTCCTACCTTTCCCGTTGCTGGATTCTGTCGGTTGGGAGCTGAGCGCTTGAGGGACAACGCGCTGCATCTGCGTGTTCTGCTGTGACCACCACAGTGCAAAGATTCCAAGTTCTGTCGAGGACAGCTGTGCTTTTTGAAATCAAACCACGTCAGAACAAACGAATGGGTGCAGGAGGTTTCCCAACAGGCTCGTGGTTTGGGTTACACGTGCACTTGACTTGGTACGGGTGGGCAGCCTGCACCCTGCAGAGCCCAGGTGGAAATCTTTGTCTCTTATATTCGGTCCGTATCCGGATCTCATGTGTTAAGAATCCGTGGCGGATTCTGTGTATTATCCTCAACCGCTGTCCTGCGTGGAGCTGAGACTGAGAGAGAGGCGGAAGGGAACGGAGGGAATGAGAATCTCTTGCAGAGAAGCAGCAGTGCACCAGGAACAAGGAGAGCTCCCTCGTGAGAACTTTGCAAGCACTTCTCTACGAAGTGTGCTGCACCCGATCGCGTTACTTCGTTCGATCAGTTACCTAATGTTAATGGGAACAATTATTACATTCGATTACTAGTTGGCTTTTTTTTTTTTTTTCGTTTTTATTTTTTTCCTGTATCTGATAGACCTTTAATTTATTTAATATCCATTGTTTTAGGTTCTTGACCTTTCCTTGAATATCTGTTAGTCATTTTAATATTTTATATATATATATATGTGTGTGTAAATATATATATATATATATATATATTAGGAATGTATTGCATCTTCTCACTGATAAGGTAGTGTACATCGTATTGCAGCAAATGATCTCCAAAGATTACTTTCTAAAATGTTTTGTTGTTGTTTTTTTTAATGGATTTTTTTTTTTTCCCCCCTAAATTTCTTTAACATTTTTTGGAACGATGTCAGAAAAGTGAGGAGTCTTTGTGGTATTTGGAGAGGAACTGCGGATGGGGAGGCTGAGTACAAGGAAAGGACGACCCCTACGAAGGAACACCTAGCAAGGTTAGAGCAAACATACAAAATAAAGTGCCTTAAAGCCAGAAAGGGAACCCTTTACACTGAGACTTACGCAGTGAATGGCCATTGTCATTGAAGCAGGTGATGTATCGGGACCCACCTACCTGTAAATATCTTGCTCAGCAGAAACAAAAAATAAAAACCAGCGAACAATATATTTTTCTATCGTATCCTCCAGCACCATTTTGTCTCATTGTTCTCAGTCCCACTTTGCCTACCCTTTGGGAGGTGGAGAATAGCGAAAGAAAGGAGAGAAACCAATGCTAAGGTTGTTGCCACGTTGGAGGGGATCTTATGGAGCAATTGCTATTCTGGTAGAAAAAATAACCATTGTTTACACGTGTATGGAATATGAACTGCAGTTAGTGTAGATTCAGTGTCTTTTAGATGTTCATCGTTTTTTGGTGACAGTCCCAAGGATGTAGGTACTTGGATGGATTCAGTGCATGGAATTCTTTTTTTTTTTTTTTTTTAAGACTTGCTTCTAAGATGCAATAAAGGTTTTTTTTTATTTGCAATCGGAGCTCCTGCTGTTGTCTACCTCAGTCTGTCTCCGTTCACCAGCATGGACACAGGGGGGGGATGCTGCAGAGGTCTGACATGGGGTGAGCCTTGGGCTTGGCTTTGGGGTGGGTGGGAGCCACCACTGCTGGGTCTGATGCCTTCCCTGGTTCTTTCTGATCTTTTTTCCACTGTTCTGCAGCTTCTTGCGATCACAGAATCATTCAGGTTTGAAAAGGCCACTAAGATCACCTCATCCAACCATGAATGGATGTCTGCAGGCATGCCTGTACATGTAAAATGCACACTGTGTTTATTAAAGTTTATGAATATGTCAGGTTTTATTCAGCCTGCAAAAGCAGAATGCATGTAAGTGGAAAAAGCTCTTGAACGAAAAGCCCCCATCTGTTGCTGGGGTTTTGTTTGGTTGCTGCAGTTCATCTCTGGTTCCCAAACTGGCCAGAGGAGCACTAAAAGTGAGGTTTACACCCAGGCTGGAGTCAGCTCTCAAGGCCCCACGTCTTAATTGACCGCATCATTTGTGGACTCACAGCATCAAAGGAATCATTTAAAAGATAAATTTTCAATTACAGCCATCTATGATAAATTCCAACCTTATAAAAAACATTTTATACTTAAAAAAAAAAAAAAAAAGTAATTTTGCTGCCTGAGTGAGGGAGGCTGAGCAGGTGGAAGTCGTCGACTCTCAGGTGCTAACCCAACCTTTCATGGAAACCAGTGCTGGAATGCTTTACTCTTAACTTACCACATGTGTTTGGTGCAGGGAGAGGTTTACTAACATCTGAGTTGTGAATTAGTGCAGAAGTCACGAGCGTTTGCCCACGAGAGCTGTTTGGAAACGTCTAACAGCACTTTGCCATGGGGCAGATGGGCCGGGGCCCAGCGAGCCCCTGCCGTGAGGCATGGCTATGAACAGGGTGCAAAAATAAAATGGAATTAGCTGCAAAAAAAGAAGGGGCTGCCTAGCAGGCTGGCTGCATTTGCCTTCACACTTTAATTCAATAAAACCCTTGGCTTTAATTGCCCTGAATCAGCTCCAGTTTCCAGCAAGCAGGGGTCCCAGTGCAGGGAGCTTCGCCAGGCTCTGCTCTGCTTCTCTGTCTCCTTGGAGAACAAAGAACAAAAAGAAAAATCAAAGCCACACCTCTGTTCTTTGTTGACATTTCAAGAAGACTCCTATAAAGGCCACAGTTTAAGTCATCTGAGTGATGCCCCGATAAAGCAAACACCCAAAGCAAACAGGAGATAATGGCTGGTAGTTGCAGTGGCCTTGGCTCTGCAGGTGGCATTTGGGGCATCTCAGCAGCACAAGGTGGGCCCCAGGCAGCTCTGCAGGACTGGACAGGAGGGCAGCAGCCACTGGGTCCCTTCCCCAACCCAATCCCTCATCCCCTTCCTCACCTCCATCCTCTTCCCGTTTCCATCTCTATTCCATCCCAATTCACTTCTCCATCCCTCATGCCTATCCCCATCACCAATCCATCGTCACTCCCTTCCTGCTACCATCCTCATCTCATCCCCATTCCCTTCCTCATCCCATCCATGTTCCTATCCCCTCCCCTTCCCCACCCCAGTTGAGACTCCCCCTGACAGAACCCTTTGCTCCATGGACATGGGTGACAGCATCTTCCAATCCTATTCACTCAGCGATGGCTCCATCGTGGTTTCCTTTGGTTCTGTTCTGCAGCTGGGTGTTGCTGCCTCCTCTTTTAGGGTCTCCCCCTTAAAAAAAGGCTGAGAAGAGCCCCAGTGCCACCTTTAGCTGAAAATGCACTTTTAAGTCCCAAAACTGCACTGAGTCGCCCACATGAAGGTCAAGTGTCCACATCAAGCTCCAGCAGCAGCCAGACCCCGGGGTTATGGGAACAAGACTGCTGGGAAGCAGATTTTAGGCTCTAATCCCACACTCCCAGCCCACTGCCGCCCACTGGGACACGCTTGCTCCCAGCAACATCAGCTCTCCCAGCAGCTCCAGCCCCTCAGCTCCCTTTTTCCTGGCAGCAGGACTTCCAGAGCAGCCACTTTACGATGTGTCTGGGGCAGGCGGCGGTGCTCACGTTCAGTGAGAGCAGGACAAAGGCAGCTTTGTGCCCACTGAGGTGATGCTGAGGTTGGGACTGGAGCTGCAGGGCAAAGGCCAGCCTGGGGTGCAGAAGATGAAGCTGTGCCCGGGGTGCTCAGGGCAACACGGAGCCACTGTGGCTCTTCCAGGTAGTGGTTTTGCAAAGAATACACACAACCAAATGAAGCTGGAAGTCACCACCAGGTGCCAGGCATCACAAACCCGAACCCCTGCAGCAGATTGCCCACCACAAGTGCCTGTGCCATGGTGCCAAGGTGGGGAGGAATCTGTTTATTTGAAGATACCCCTCTTTAGACACAAAGTGTTTTGTAGCAGCCTGCAACAAGGATGTGAACCAGACCTCGGCCCACGCAGCCGATGCTCACACAAGTTTCTTGGAATAGAAAAACAAGAAATGTCCAAACTGTACACCTTTACACAGGGCACGGAGCCAGGCTCCTTTTACAACGCTGTACATGCTCGGAATTAGGAAGTGCAACTCAGAGCCAATAAAGCATCCTGGGCCACTAATGAAGACAAACTAAAAGCTGCAGCGGCGGAAGCTGAGCAGATACACAGGCAAATGAAGCTTATTGTGCTCCTGCTACTCCAGAGTGTAGCTACCAAGAGAAAGAGGAGCAGAACAAAGGCAGCTTATGGGCTTCCCTGGTCACAGAGCTCTCCCTTCTCTCCCATCAGGAAGTAGCTGTCAGCCCAAGTGGCTTTGCTTTGTATCAGCTCTATTTTACAACTGACTTTGCAGGAGTGCAATTCAATAGCTCGCTCACTCCCTGAGCTGCAGCCACCTCCTGCTCTCAGCTGCAGGGAGAGCGCCCAGCGCCCACATCCTGCCCCTGCTGGGCTGTCCCCAAAGCCCTGCTGGGTTCTGCTGCCAAAACCCCATGGAGCTCATTAGCAGCAAAACAGTGGTACCCTCTGTGCACCCCATCCCCTCCCCGTGTGGGGCTGCATGCTCAGGGCAGGATGCTTCTCTCTTCCATCAGACCTCGGTTTCCAGTGCCACGAGCACTACCTCCTCTTCCTCATGCAAGTTTCAAGCCGTCCCAGCTCTTCGTAGGCCTGGTAGAAAACGTCAAAGTCTCTGGCACTCCAGCCCCTCCAGACAGCCAGGCACCACTCGGTGTTTTCATTCTGAAAGCAGCACACAACCGTGTCCTTTGCTATGAGAGCAGCATCCACCAGCGTCCTGGGGAAGGAAGAACAGAGAATGGCATCAGGGCGGATTGCAGCCCCACTAAGCAGCGGGGCCCACTAATCCCAGAGGCACTGATTCACGGGCTGTCCTTTCCAGCTGGTGAATCTCCTTTTGTAAGCTGCAAATCCTTGAGAAGGGAGAGCATAGCAAAGGGGGGAACGAGAAACCACACTGCAGCGAAAGCAAGCAGTTCAGTGACATGGGAAAAGATTCCATAAGGGATTCAGGTGCCCAAACATGAAGCTACATGCATAAGCCTGCCACGACATTCTGAAGTTGCTGATAAGCTCCTGATTTGCTCAATCCCTGCTGCCAACTGGACGTTTCCAGAGCAGCCTCCAGCCCAAGTGAGTGATGGGCTTGGATGGGGTGGGTGGCATCAGACAGCAGTGCAGCCCCAACCCAGCCCCAATGGCCGTGGCTCTGCGCCTAATTTCCCCCTAATTCTTTTTAACAGTTGGGTAAAATAAAGTCAAGCCTACAGTCAAGAACGCCTGACTCTCAACTAACTGATAAAAATGCTCTGTGAACAAGGCGAGGGAACGGCAGGAGCACTTTGATCTCATGCTGTGTTTGCCCAGTGGTAATAAATGGTCATTTATAATCCTTAGCGGTGCTTAACCTCCATTTGTTTGGACATAAATAGTACAATCCCAGACTGGTATTTAAGTGATCAGCAGGAGCACCCCCATCTCTCCAGCAGCTATTTATTTATCCGGACTCTCGTTTGCTGGATGAAACCTTTTACATTAACGTATAGAACTGCTCTCCCCTGTGCTCTCGGAGCCGTCCCCTGGCCCGTCACTGCCGACAGCACAAAGGTGCTCATTTAGAGCCAGAACTTCAACCTGATCCACATGAATGAAGCCACAGACAAGCGCTGCGCTCTGCATAAATACACTGCTTGTTCCTAACACAGGGCCGGAGCCTGCCAAGCTCCAGCCATCTCCTGCCAGGTGCCGGTGCCCTCCGAGTACCTGGAGGCAGCAGCAGGCAGGATCAGACCGACACTGGGCTCTGCCCATCGCGTTACTGGGCACCGGGTGACTTTTGGAGAGCAGGCTGCGGTCACAGCATCTCACCCTCACCTCTGCAACCCACCCCCTTGTGCCCCTGGGAGCCGGTGCCCAACTCAGCCTCACCCATAGGGAGCCAGCTCCCCGGCCTTCAGCACGGCGATCACTCGGCCCCGCTGCATGCCCGACTCCTTCTCCAGTCCAATCACGATGATATCCCCTCCTCTCCTGCAAAAGAAAGGAGGGAGATTGCACACACGCACTCTGCAATGGGGACTGCTGGCAGCTGAGCAAATCCCGTGTTGGATACCCATCCTCTCTGCTGCAATCCCTCCTGTAGTGACATGGATTTCTGCAGGGAAGGGGCACTGCCGCGTCACCAAGAAGTGACTGAATCTGCTGCAGTAAGAACCCCTACAGCTGGCAAATCACATTTCTAGCAGTTTTGAGCAACTCGACGGGAGGCAGCGGGACGTGCCAGCACCGCATCCGAGCAAGGAAGCTGCCTGCTGTTCTTTGTTTTCTCAGTAGCCAGGGAAACTGGGTGTTGAGCTCACCATCCACTATTCCATTCTGCTGAAATCAATCTCACGAGGCCTCAGATGCAGCCATTCTGCTCATCACCAGACATCTTTAAAAACGAATGGAGAAATGGATGGGCCATTGTACTGTGAACTCAATTTCTCAGTGATGATTTTCTGGACAGCTGAATCAAAGTAGGCATGCAAAGTCCCTGAATTGCCTGCAGCTAATCTCTCACTACTCAGCCCAGGAAGGATTTGGCTCAAGCTGTTCTGGGAAGCAAACCACTTACCTGGGGATCCATACGAGGTCTTTCACAGGCAGAATCTTGATGGCTTGGAGATGCTGTGAGTTGTCACCCATAGGCACAGCATCGTGATCCGGGGAAGGCTTCAGTTCATGAAATTTGCCCGACTCCTCAAAATCTGTGGAGAGTGGAGCACTAGAAGAGCTGGTGGGTGAGCTGGGCAGGCTGGAGGGGCACCGGGTTAACCTGTTGGGAGGTGAGGAGGAGTAGGAGGACACGGAGCAATAATCCGTGAGTGAGTCCTGGTGGTTGAGGATCTGGGTGCCAACCTCGGGGCTGTAGATGATGCTCATGTCCACCAGCGAGTTCCCCTCCAGCGCTCTGGGGTTGATAGGAGCAGTAGCAGGGATGGCTGTGGCAGGCTGCTGGATGGCAAACATGTCTCTGAGGGGGCTGCAGTCTCCACAGAAGTAGCGTGCACAGAGCTGGTAGGTGGCGGCGTGGTACATCACCAAGAAGTTACTCTTCTCGTCCAGACACCACACCACCTCCTCCCCATGGCACTCCGAGTTGCAGGCAATGGATGAGATGGCAGAGGGCGGGCTGAAGGGCTCCAGCCTCCTGCTGATCTCCATCACAGCACAGTCGATGACGAGGACGCCGGGGCCGTTGCTGTACCACACCTCCGTGCCGCTGTTGGCGATCTCCATGGCCCTCACCGGGTACGGGTTCTGCCGTGGGTCATCGTCGGGAATGTTGAATTTGGACCTGTTGGCTGTGTGGGAGCACAGGTAGGAGCAGCTGTCCGCTGGGATGCCCTGGGCCACTGAGAACACTGCTACGAGTCCATCTGACAGACCGGCCAGCACCATGTATGAGTTCTGCAAGAAAGAGTCGGCAGATTCTCTCCAGATTCTTTACTTCTCCCCCCAGACAAAAGCTTTCAATCCCCAAGGCGCCCACTGCCCATCACAATCCTATCAGTGTGCCAGTAACTCACCCCAGATCACTCAGCGATAACAGCAACATAAAAAGAAGCTGTTATACAGAAGCTGCTGCAGAGCCATACTCCTCTCACCCAGTATTACCTCTCTCTTTATTGGCAAGGGAGGATAGACAGGCCTGGCAGCCTGCCCCCAAGGTTAACAAATTCAAGCTGGAACACGTTCAGAGGCAGCCATCGTGATCCTAGGAATCCAGCTGTAGAAACCCGGCTCATATCCAGAAAGGAGTAAAGCACAGTGAAGCTATTGCTATCAGTCAAGGAGAGGAATGGAAGCAATGCAGGAGGAAACGGAAAGAGGGAGATGGTCCTCCTTCAGCCAACGCCAGTGCACGGTGATCACCCCGCGCTCAGCCGCTGCGCTCCTCCCAAGGATGCGCCCTGGGTGTGGGATCGCGGGCAGTGTTCCCAGTGCCAGGCATAAAAACACTGCACACTGCAGCAGGTAGATCACATCCTGCCCTGGGATGTGCTGGCTGCAGTGGGAACCACCACGTCCCTGTATGGGAGCTGGCAAGAAGGCCACGGCTCAGTGCATCCCCAGCACCTTCTGCTCATTGAGGCGGAGAAGAGGGCTGTGAAACAGGCTGGGAAATGGGACTCTTGGGAATTAACTCCCCGTGACCTCAGGGCTGTACCAGAAACTCCCCATCTGTGCAGCAGATAAAACAATACCTACCTCAAAGGCCTTTATTTCCTCCCTGTGGAGCAATAAATTAAAAAAAAAAAAAGACCCTTTGCCCAGGGCTTACTCACTGCTCTTACAAACCAAAAGCAAATGGAACCAAAGAACACAGCGGACCTGGCATCACCCCTGGCTGCTCTGAAGCCAATGGAAACCTTCAGGGCCTGTGGCTGTGCCAGCCCCATGCGATGGCTCTGGGTCCACAGAGACCAAAATCAGTACACCTTGAGCTGCTCTCAAATACCAAGGGGCAGATAGCATGGGGGTATTAGTTTAATGGATAGCACTGTTTGCAAGGTTCATTAAGAGTCATCAATTAAACCATTCTATCTGCACACACAGTATGAGTTAAGCATCAGCGTGCTGCACTCATATGACTAATCCAAATCACAGCAGAATTTTACAGTAATGGGAAAAACTAGGGAAGCAAGTGGAAAGTTGTGAAATGGGACTTGGACTCCAATTCAGCCTGGTCCCAATCCTCTAACCACTAATTAAAAGAAACCCAAGTGGCCTGCAGTGCTCAGTGCCACGTCCCCACTAACAAGTGGATCTGGTGCAAAGGTTCTTAGTCGTGGACCTGCCAGGGGCTTGTATCAAGAGGGTGGAACATGGCATAATGCTTTGCACAAGCTGGGTTTCAGATTTTTTTTTTTTTGCCTTTGGAAAAGAGTTCAATTATTTAAAACAGAACAAAGCAAAGCAGAACAGCCCACATCTCTCTGGTGAAAATGGTCCAATGTTTTCAAACCCTGCACAGCAAGTATTTCTTACTAAAAATGGAATACCTGAAATCAAACGGTCACATTTCATTGCTTCGATGGCCTTCAGAAAACTACAGCCCAGTTTCATCATCAGACACATTTTAAGAGGGTGAGGAGCTCCCCAATGCTGTGGCTGCACTGCTCGAATGTAATGTGGGTGTGCCAACCTGAGCTGCTGCTAGCATGGCACACAGCACTATTACAGCTTGCTCTGGGATTCTGTCTCTCTTGCTTTGTAAATGTTGGATTATCCAAGCACATCCCAGTGCTTGAATATATATATATATATTTATTATTATTATTATTATTTTGAGGGATGTGCTTGAATAATCGAACATTTATATATATATATATATATATATTGCCATTTTCTTGATGAGTGTCAGCCACTGCAGAGCAGTCAAGATTCCTTCCAGAGACCTGGTGGGGGGCAACCAGCCCATGGCAGGGGTGGGACTGGGAGACCAACACCACAGAGCTGCATCATTTATACCACCTCAGTTTTAAGGATTATACCAGATTTTAGCCTGGCCAGCCTACAGTGGAAGCAAACCTGACGGGTACTTGACGCTTTGGGGCACTCATTGCTCACAGTCTTCGCTATCAGGATTTGCTTCATTCCAGCCCTTATCACTTTGGTTGGGAAAGGAGTAAGAACTCAGATTCTGGGAAATGCCCCCTACCTGCCATCTCTGGCCTAGCACAGACCACGAGAGGGGCACTGCCAACGCTGCCCAGATGCTACCAGACATTATGGGGTGCTGGTGGGGCAGGGCAGCGTGGCAAAGCCCTCAGACCCAGGCTATTGCAACAGCGACCAGAGACAGGCAGTGCGGCAGGCTCCAGAAACCTTAAGTAACTTTCTCAGAATTCATTTTCAACATTCGAGCCCAGCAAAGAGCCAACAAAAACATGCAGCAACAAAACTGCATTTGAAGCGCGCGTCCTGCCAGCAGCCCTGCTGTGCCAGCGAGGAAGGCCTTGGAGCGGGGCTGCAATGGGATGCGATGGGCAGCACAGAGGGTGAGCTGGCTCCAGACATCCTGTCCTTGTGGCTAAGGCAGCTGGGACAGCCACAAGGAGCAGGTTAAAAACCAAAAATGGCCTCGGTCACCTCCTCCCTCCTTCCCGCAGGGTCTGGTGCTGCTGGCACTGAGCGCTGCAGCCTTTAAATGCAGCTTTTGTTTTCATGCGTTCCAGGTTGCTGCAGGAGGCTGGAGGCTTGCACCCATACACATCTCTCTCCCCCAGAAACCACACAACAAAAAAGCTCAAACTGTACAAGACTTTTCCTTGGCGGGTGAGATTTGGATTCTGGGCCCCTCTCCACTGCCTTTAAGTTTCCATGATGCTTCCTTTGGATGAGAAACCAAGTTTTGGAAACTGTTTCTTTTGGATCAGCCTTCCCAAGGCAGTCATAAAGAATTCCCCTTCCCAGCAACATCCCTCAGCAGCTCTCCGACTGCGAGTTACCTCACATCTCATCAGCTGAAGGCTTTCTTCCCAGAGAAACGCGAGCAATTCTTTCCTCCATCAGGCAATAATTACTGTGTGATAACTCTGATACAACTCGCTGTGCTGTACGGCGAGTTTGACAAGTGTAAGCTTTCCACTTTTGCTTTATGGGAAGAACTGGCTGCTTCAAAAAATGGCTTAGTTTCTTGCCAGCCTGGTCTGCACATCCCCACGGCTGCTGCTCTGGCTGTTCCACTGCCAAATTCATTCATAGAAAGGAGAGAGGAAAAAGTAAGTGCAATAAAGCAAGGAGTGCAGCAAAGGGATGTGGATTTCTGGAAGGTTGGGTAGGGTCGGGGGAGGAAGGGAGGTGTCTAGACTCAATATTACTATTGTAGAGCCTGGCATTATTTATGACATTTTCTAGGCAAGCCACAAACTGAAAATAGAAACCAGGAGACATAAAGCCACTCGTAACCCCTAAGGAATGGCTTTGCAAGCTGTGTGACAGTGGAAAAGCTGAAAAGCGAAAGACTCGTTCGACTATCCTGGACAAAACCTCAAGCAGCACAAAAAAGAAATTTACCCTACACGTCAGAAATGAAACTGCACAGTGGAGAAACACTGCAGACGTGGGAGCCAAAGAAAGCCGACAGACGCAGCCTCCCGACGGGTAAAACTCGTCCCTTTGCCAACTTCAGCTCTGTGCCCTCCTTCAGTCCTCCTCACACCATGTTTGGAAGTCAAGTGGTACACCTTACACTAACCATCCGCCCTGGATGCAGACAGCAGTCTGAGCAGACCAGCCAGAAATGGACAGCAATGTGAATGAACACGTGGGATAAAACAGCGCCGTGAGAACTGCTCCGTGTTGAGCTTTTAGCCTTAGACAGCCCACTGGCATCTGCAAAAGCTTCATGGTCACCATTAACGTTGGAGCATAATTATGTGTTTTCACTCGAGGTGCTGTAGGCAAACCGGAGGTAATTCAGCCCCAGAGCAGTTTTTATGCATCCCCCAGACTTGCCCGCAATAGGCAGTAATGTCAGATTCCTCTTGCCAATAATTGGATGGTAGCAGTTTCAGAACCAGCTAGATAGCATACAACTTTTTATTAGTCATAGGTGGCAGCTCGCAGACTGCATTTATGATCTCAGTGTTCTCATCCAGAACCAAAAAGAAGTTTGTGTGCACAGTATTACCTACACAACAGCACGCACATGTGCCAGCAAAAGAGTGAGAGCAGGAAGCCAGGGTATACCCACGTTAACAGTTAACAAACCTCTATACCAATTACTCATTCACATCCCCTCGACTTTGCTTGATCAGCCTAAACCTTGTCATGCAATGATGTGGAAACACAGCTGGAAAATTTCCTTGTGGGGGAATTTGATCTGTTTGCACTGTTATCCCAGCAGAGTTCACAGCGCCAGCTCCGGTCCCCTGACATGGGTTCATGCCCACACCTCTGCCCCTCGCTCTGCTGCCAGAGGCACCAAGAGCCAAAGCCGCCTTCTTACACCACCAAACACTGCAAACTACTTTGATGCTGGCTGGTGACAAGTGGCACAAACCCTTGCAGCCTGGCTTCACTAACACGCTCTTCCCAAACTGGATCTAGGATTCCCCCATACCTTTTTAACAACAGGAATCACCAGGAAGCAGCTGACAGCAGCAGGAGAGTCCAAACACTTCTGTGGGGCCTTCAGAGGACACATGCCCTGCAGCCTGTACACTGAAATCTTCTGGTCCTGTGGAACAACACAACAAATACAATGAATTTCCATTGCTCCTCACAATTTTTATACTTCGATGCCTGAATGAGATGCAACTATTTCGCAAACAGTTTTTATTTGTATTCTTCATATGCAAAGCCTGAATTCCCCTTTGTTTTCTCTGGAGACCATCAGCCTATGGGTAGGACCCTGGGGTTGCCTTCCCCAGAACCAGCTGTGACCCAAACCCAACCCAAAATCAGCACTACAGCTGTTACAGCAGCACATCTACACCAGCATTGGCAGCCCTGACTCTGAACAAACCCTGAACGTGCCAGGACAACTGAGACACATTTTATGCTCTTTTGCTTTCACCTGTCAGATCAGACTAATAGTACTGGAGTTACAACTGCTCTACACCTCTACCTACTACAGAACACTTGATTTGGAGAATATCAGCACGTTTAATGTTGATCAAAAAGGTGAAAATAAAATGCTTTAAGATCTCTGCATTATCTTATTATGGGAAAAAAAAAAAAAAAAAAAAAAAAGGAATATTTGAACCCTGCCTCAATTTGGGTGGATAGAAAAGTCAAATATCTTATTTACCAACATGGCAGAAAGCTGTACACCTTCACTCCATTCCAGCTTCCATACTCAGCCATGTGAATTCACCAACACAGATTACTTATTCTGCACACGTTGCCTCTTCCCCCCCACCCCGAAACTGAACTTCAGGAACATTCCCATTTGTTTCATCTATTTTTTGTTTGCTTTGTGTCAAATGGTGGTGCAGAACAGGCTGACACTCAACACAACCCTTTCTGATGGGCGGATGCAGGCTCAGAGATAAGCCAGCCCTGCTCTCTCACTCTTATCTTTTCAGCCGCGGTTTTCCATGGTGAACGCTGCACTTGGGTGCCCATTTCCCACCAGATTCCAAATCCCTCCACCCTGTTTTACAACCCCACCTATGACGCATGGCTTCTTTCACTGCTCCCCTTTATCACTCAGAGATAAGGACATTTCCCAGATGGAAACACAGGGTGCAGATATGCCCCAACCAGGACAGTTTTCACCTCAGGCAGCCGAGCTTCCCATGACTGCTCTGAACACCAGGAGACACAACCATCCTCTACGTGTCAGCCAAACAGCATGCAGCACCAACACCCCACGAGGCAGCAGGTGTAGAGACAGGCTGCTCAGGTCTGCTGTCTTAGTTCTACTGACTGAAGAGGCTGTGGGTTTGCATCCCTTGCGAGGAGGAGGAGCACTTCAGCAGGGTGCTGATGGCCTTACCTCCGTGGCAGCCCAGAGGGCATTCTGAAATTTCAGTTGGCAGCACAGCTTCATCCCGGGGCAGCTCATCCTCTCCACTTCTATGACCCCTTTTTCTGGATTCACCACAGTGTAGTTTCTGAAAAGAGCAAACAGTTGGCTGCAGCCAGCCTCCAACCTGCATAGTGCACTTGTAGCCAAGCCACAGCGTGATGCAGACAGTGCTGCAGGGCTCTCCAAAGGGTTCTCATACAGGAAAAGACACAAAGACGTGCCCCAGCTCTTCCTCGGGGTGGAGGATGTGCGATTGCTTCTGTGAAGATTTCAGCTCAGCTATCCGACTTTGCACTGCAATGGATGAGGAGCACCTCCACTGCCAGTTACTATAACTCAGCTGTGAGACGAGCAGCTCCAGCTGAAGAGCAGTAATTAATAGCTAGAAGCTCTCAGCCTTCCTCACCCATTAAGATTCTCAAGAGAATATATGCTCTTTTCCCAAGCTCACTGCCTCAGTATTATCTTGTTTCATTACTAATTCTGGTACATAAACAGCAGATGACGATTCCTCCACATAGGAGCAAAGATCTGTAACCTGATAAATTCTTTTATAAATATGACCTATAAATATTTTTGCAACTACAAGGATTTTGTTTGTTTTGGGTTCGGGGGAGTTTATTGGCTTTGGGTGTTTGAACAACAACTGGATATTCACAATCGCATCTGCGAGCCCAGATGTTGGACCAACTGCAGCACAGGCAATCACACATCCCCAGATCTGTCATATAGAAGCAATTTGTTATTCAGCAGTCTCCAGCAATTGCATTGTCCGGTCAGGAAGCAGATTCCCCGAGATATATTGCTGTGAATATTTGGATAACATCCACGTATTCAAAATACATCTGTGGGTCCCATGTGTTTCAGTAGGAATAGCTCTACTGCCTGCGCTGAACAGCCAGCCAGGCACCACAAATAGCAAACAGCTCAGGAACAAATCACCTTTCCCATCAGGTTAATGCCTACGAATAATTAATACAAAATTCAGATCCATTTGTGAATGTTTCCAAATAAAATGAGGGCTATAAAAATCAGTAACATCCATAAAAATCAACCTAACTAGCCACGGGTCATAGGTGGCTGAGCAAAACACCATCATCTCAGTCACAATTTAATAACACTTACAGCACATGCCTAGCCAGTATGGCACACATTTTACTGGAAGCATACACTTGGATGCACACACAGCTTCAGGCATGTGGCTAACTCCTGATGATTTCAATAGGATTTAAGCATGTGCTTAATTGCTTTGCAGAACAGAGATGGAACTGCAGTCTCAATTAGGAAAGGTTTAGCGTTAAATGGCCTCATTAGGAAAGGCAGAACACGTCTGTTCTCATGTGCAAATGCTCCATCCTGTGTGTATGAATCATTACACTGCCCTAATCTTCTCCTCATATTAACTGAAGCAGAGTTAAGCTCATTAAATATCCTTTATAAAGCAACCACTGTTCCCAATTAAAAGAGTTTGGGAAAACAGCGTTCAGTGTATCCTTGGCATTCACTCAAATTCACTCTCACCTTCTTCACCTCCCCTCAGAGGGGTAAGGGAAGACACTGAAGGATTTTTACTTCAAAAAGAAATGAGTAATAGGAGCCATCTAACCTGGTGTCTTCCTTCCCATCCCAGAAAACCACAGTGTATTCCTGTCCTTGGGAGCAGAAGAAAGACGACTGCTTCCCACAGGGCAGCAGGTACATGAATGTTGCAAAGGAGGGATCTTTCATCTGTCCTACCACAGAAATGGCCAGCGGACGCTGTGGGGAAAGGAAAAGAGAACGACACACATCACAAAGGCAGCTGGAGGTCCAGATGGAAGAACAGAATCACAACCATTGCTATTAAAGCTACAGAGCCAAGGACTTCTTTAATAAAATCTCCTGCAACGTACCCATATCTGCACCAACTTCTTACAAATCCCACCTCAGTGGTTCCTAGCATTCCTCTGTATCCCAGAATTTATTCAGATGTAAGATGCAAGAATTCTGGGACCTGACCCAACCTCTGCCTGTTTGTGAGTCAAGGCAACCTTTATTTGATGGCTCCAAACCATCAACTTAATTAATGAGAAATGTAATACACCAATATCTTTTTTTTTTTTTTTTTTCATACTTAAAATCCTTTTCTTATCCCCTCATGTTGCCCTTTATAATTGGAGGGGTTTTGAAGTCTTTGTAGTTACATTCACAGCACGCTGCCGTAGCTGCTTCTAGAAATTATGGGTAATGTCTTGCCCAAGAGAAATCAATAGCCTAACTGCCACTGACATCAAGGGACCTGCGTATCACCCCAGACATCTTATGCCACCAATGTGCCATTGTTTCATTCATAATACTCTAATTTAAGCTAGTAGAAGCTCTGGGCCAAATCAGCAGGAGGGGGAAACAGGCAACTGAGCTGCAGAGCTGCATCAAGAGGAATGCTGGTGATGAGGGGCGTCTGGTACCTTTTCTGGCTTAGTGTCCCAGCACTCCATCATGAGTGCCTGCATCCTATACAGCTGCACCTCCTCCGGCTGACCAAGAACAGGACGGATCCCTTTTGACAGCTTCTTTGCTATCTGCAGTTGGTGCTGCCCTAGCACAGGCCGCTGACCGGACAGCAACTCATACAGCACCATCCCATAGGAGAACATGTCAACCTAGAGCCAGCAACAAAGCAAACTTGCCATGGTAAAGGCAGCATGGAAGAATACAACGGGAAAGATAGCACTGCACAACGACACAGCGGTTAGGAGGGAATTCAGCATGAAGCCACCACCACCCATGGACGTGCCACAGTTACCTTCTCATCATAGACTATGCGAGGTCTGATCTCAGGGGCTTGATAGCCTGGTGTGCCTTCCACCCCGAGTGCTCCTTCATGGAACGACTGCCGAGAGATCCCATAGTCAGACAGCTTGATGTTGATGTGTTCCTTGACATCCAGGGACCACACCAAGATATTGTCCGACTTCAGGTCACAAAAGATGATGTTCTTCTTATGCAGGTAGGCAAGGCCAGTGACAATCTGATATGCTATTTTGTGTGTCAGCATGTGTCCCAGCGGCACAAAGGAAGACCCTGCCACAAAGGAACAGTCTGCCTTCAGGTCTTGTAATCATAACTGCTTTTCATCCTTTCTTTCTCTTTCAAACTCCAAAGCAATAACTAAGAATGCTTTAAAACATCACCCAACGCCAACATTCAGAGTGCTGCCGTTCATGTTGCTATACAAATCTGGCAGTTCCATTACGGGTTTTAAAACCCTTCCAACCTCCAGACCCCTGAATCTTCTGGTGAGAATTAATGCTTAACTGAAAGTTGATGCAAAGCCAAGATGCCAAGAGGGTCAGATGGCCTCAATCTAACTCACTCTGAGTGCCATTCATTTGATAGCAACAAGAATACAGACAGTTATGGGAGAATTCAGACTGCCAGACGCACATCTGCGGGAGGAAGAACACAGCACTACACAGGGAAAACTGAAGAGAGGTGCACTTCTTATTACTTAGCAGAGAAAATGAAAATCCAGTCTCCAAAGTAGTTTTCAAAACGCTGAGCATCAATTTTTACACTTAGTCCCCAAAGGCACAGCTGAAGAGCAATGCCTTCCCTCCCAATTTCCCTCCTTCCCTTCAGTAAATCAAGCAGTGGTTTTGGCATTATCAGTCATTTGTCACCATTGTGACTCAGCAGTGAGATCTCCCAGGAGGGAGACTGTGCTTTTACCTTTGGAGTTTTCAGATAAGACAGTGGTGAGGCTGCCCAGAGGGGCCAGCTCCAGCGCAAAGCAGAGTGGATGGATGCTGATGCCAATGAGGGAGACAATGCAGGGGTGCTGCAGCGAGTGGAGCATGCTGGCCTCCTGGCGGAACTCAGAGAAGTTCTTCATGGCATCCATGGCTCTCAGGTGTTTCAGCATGGTATCTGGCAAGACATACAAAGTCCTCCTCAGTCCCCAGCTAAAAAAGAATATTATGGACTCTTTGGAGGGTATTACTCACTGAGAAAATGAACCTTTTTAAACTAATGACTTCTGGGGGTGGATTTACATTGCAGACCCTTCAGAGGAAGGGGTTTTTCCTACCCTTGCCCAACTGCCCTCTCAGAAGTGGGACTCTATCGTCCCTTCTGCCATGGGACACTCCAGGCTGCTCAGGCAAGTCTGCTGTGTGCCAGTGGGACAGCAGCTGTCTGCTTCTTCACCTCAGGGCTTCCCTGATAAAAATGAAGACATTGACGCACCTTCATTTCTTCTGTCCTTGGACTGAACCTCTGATGGAAATCTGGGCTCAACACCCAGCATATGCAGTATGAGAGGACGTCCCTGCCTGCCCAAGAGGAGGAGCAGGAGGATTTCCAATTTCCTTTCTTTATGTGCTGGCATAGACGGAATACGACTTATTAAAAGTCTTACTAAAAGGTAAAGACCTGCAAGCCCTTAGTGCAAACGCAAATACACACTTCGCATTGCCAGTGACCTTCTTCTCTGACATCCTACAGTGAAAATGGGCTTAATTTCTGTACCTTACAGGTGCTGTCATTAAAGACTTCTTACAACACACCTTCCTCCTCCATGAAAACACATCAATTTTGCTGTTTATTTCAAAGCTGTATACAAACAGGTGCTGCCAGCACTTCAGAGAGCAAAGGCTTTTTGGTCCCAGCTTGTGATCTCAGGCTGCACAGTGAATCTCGGTGCTGATTCCGTACTGTACCTGCAGCTGAAGTGGGAGAACCACTGCATTTTTTGATCTGAAATCTCTTCACAGCCACTGGTTTTCCTTGGTATCGTGCCCGATATATAACAGTCCCACTTCCACCCTGGCCAAGAACGTTGTTTTCATTTTCACTCCATTCCAGTTTGCTGTTTTCCAAGAACAATCTGCCAAAAAGAGATTGGGGCTTTTTAATTAAAAGACAAGCTTTAAAAACATGAATTTACAATGCCTTTAATGTGATTGTCATTTTCACACATCCCTCCTAGGTTCTTGTTATATCTGCTGAACAGACTGGATCACCTTTGTCATCTCAAGGTACTCTGTGCTGGCTCAATATGGCTCAGCAGATTCCTTGCAGAAAGAAAAGTAAGGAGCAAATAAGTGAAAAAGGCTTTTTAGGGCCAGCTTATCCTATGAGAACCCAGTAGATCTGGAAAGCACATGCACTCCTTCTCCAAGCAGATGGCATAGCTACAGACATTTCTAACGTTTATCTGTATTAATGATTTTTTGTTTGTTTGTTTCATTTGCCTCCTGTTCCGATTCTCTCTGTTGAGGCAGGACAGGATGTTTATGAACAGCCCCACACTCCAAAACCTGATTATTTCAATCAGCTTACTGTTCCCAGGCTGTAATTTATCATGTTCCCACTCTTCCAAAGCCTACTTTCACAGCTGTTCATACTTCAAACATCTCCACTCACCTCACACCAGCCAAATAAGTCTGTAGGAGAGACCATAGTGGTTGGCCACTGATGATGCTGGCCCACAGTACCCATCAAAATGACTGTAAAAAGGGAATGGGAAGCAAAGGGAACATAGAAAGCCCCAAGAGCAGCTGACAGGACACCATTTGATCAAGACATCTCACAGCTCTGCTTCCAGCCCAAAGAGGTCTGAGAAATATGAACTGAAAGGGACTCTGGTCCTGTGTTCTGCCTGCCAGGGAACATGATCCATATGGAATGCAGGTAAGCAGCTAACAAATTTAGAAATGCTGCTATAGGTAGGAAAGTGTTTCAGGTGCTCAGGATTGTCACCCTACTAATCCACATGCAGTAGCCCTGAACCATGCAGAAGCCTCAGCCCAATGTGAGTTCTGTAGTGGCATCTATATAAACTCACTCTCCTAAAGGTGACCTGAGCATCAGTCTTGTGACACAGCAGCACTGCCTCTTAGTCCTGCTGTATTAAATTTCCTTCCTGGTTCATACCAGGCATTTCAGGAAGACTTCAACTACAGCAGAGTACTGACAATGCAGGACAAAGGTGACATCAAAAAGAGACTTCCATATTGCACTGCAGTGATCCTAGAGGACTCAACAAAGCGAAAAATAAAGTCACAGAATGGTTTGGTTGGAAGAGACCTTAAAAGACCACCCAGTTCCAATGGCCATGCCACAACAGGGACACTTTCCACTCATAATCCTCACACAGTCAGCTTGCTCCTCTAGCAGAGATGGTTTAGGAAAAACACAACCAGCTGAGTTACACATGCACACTAAGATTCAACCAGAGGCCATTGAATAACATTACCTGGCAGGAAAATCTGTCATGAAGAGCTCTGGGACCAGCTCTTGGAGAGAAACAGGGATTTCGGGGTGGTTGGGGCACGTGATGTAGTCCAGTTCAATGGCAGTCAGGACGCAGTCTTCCATGTTGAAGTACTGTGCATCCTCTGCCCTCTCACCACACTCATCCTCCAGCCTGGAAGCAGCACAGATGTGGCAGGGCACGTACTGCTCCATCAGCAACGTACCGTCGCTCTCAGTGGCTGTGAGTGCTTCAAACCAAGCAAACAAACAGAAAACATAGCTCAGACTGAGAAGGAGCGACAGCTCCGAGCGCATCCAAGTGTCTGCAGTCGCTACCTGGATCCGCTGGCAGGAAAAGGTCAGACCCATGACTGCAGCAGTTTGTGAAAGCAGGCTGATGCAAGAGAAAGCACTATCTGCAGCACTGAAGGCAGGAACACATTGCTCTCCCTCATGAGCAACGTTTTCAGACCCTCTGAGGGAAAAGCTACCATGATAGAACCTCTCCCATCAACTACAGAGGGATTTGGTGTTGTCAGCCCCCATTAAATGCCTACAATCCAGTGGATGAATCCAAGCCACAGCCTTTGAAGTCACGACTCTTCTCAAGCTTCAGCGATTAACATTATCATTATTTTAATCTAAAAGGCAAATAAAATCTCCTTTTAAGTTTGCAGCATGCAGAACGTGATTATGTGCGACAACTGTTTCCTTGGGAGAACCTCCAATTAAGAGATTTTGGCACTGTGTTCCAGACCGTTGAGTGACCGATATGAGATGACAAAGAATACTTGAGACTTTGTTTTGGTTTTAAACAAAGTGTACTGGGGTTGCAAACGGCCCGCTGGGTAACAGCATGATCTGTGCTGATCACAGGAAAAACAACTGCTGGAGTCAAGGAAGTTACCTTGGCACAGAATCCTTGGTATCATATTCACTCATGCCTCTCACATCACAATTTTATTAATTACAGGCTATTCAAAATGGGGGATAAAAAGCTGATCCCAGCTGACCCCAGAAGGAGTTTTGGCACTGAGGGACAGCACCAGGTAGTTTGGGTGGAATCCTGCCTCTACTATGAGCAAGGGAAAAGACTCTCAACTCCTATACAAGCAGGTCTTGCTTCAACTGTAATGTTTCACTTGTGCTTGCTGAGATTGATGGGGTGAAAGACACAAGGTGTAGACCAATGGTTGCTGGCAAAGAATCTCAATCTGTCTGCAGCTTATCAGCTTCTCTCAGACATTACTGGCTTGAGACTCTCAGAGGGGTCTTCATTTAACACGCAATACTGCACACCTGGCGAGCTTTGCCAAAGAACTTTATGTTATACAGACATAATCATAATGCCACTGAAAATTACAACATTTCTCTTACCAGGAAACCACTGGTCTATCAAAGAGTTGACATGATCTGTGATGAACGCCATGGCTGAAAAGTCTCTCGCTTCTGACTGGCAAATGATTTTAATTCCCCCACTTTTTTTCTTTTTCCAGTTGACATCAGAAGACTCAACACTGTTTAAGAAAGACAGAAGACAATGGAATGAAGCTTTTGTTAAGAATCGACGTCAACAAACTTTCTTTCTCCTAGGAAAGCTGAGTTACAAAATAACATGCAGTTCATAGGCAATCAAAACAAAACCTTGGCTTTGAATATGAATTTCAATTCAGTTCATTCTGCAAATGACTTTGAAAAGAAATTGCTCACTGGAGGTAAATGTATCTTTACTACAAAGGGCTTAGTTCTGTAATTCCCTGAACCACAGAATGGGCTCACGTGGGAAGATATATTATGAACACAATCTTGGTCCAAAATTTAGGGTTCTAGCCCGTGATTTGCAACATTTGGTTCCAAGCCTCTGTTCAGCTGCAGACTGCCTAAATGAATTCAGGAAAGACCCTATATTCTTCTGGTATCCAACTACACAGCAGCACCAATGGTTCTTCCCTATCTTTCCAGGGACTGGAAGAGTAAATGCATGTGCAGATGATGCAGAGATGAAAATTTAAGAGGACAGCAACTCCTCGCATCTGTTAAAGAATATGGATGGCAGCTTTCCTCCAGCCTCACAACCAGCAGATACCCTGCCTTGCCCAGTTTAAACCCACTGCCCATAGCTCTTGTCACATGCATCTGATAGCAGTGAAGCACCTCCACTCATCTGGATTGCTGCCACGCAGCGGTGGGATTTTAGGATTCACTGGAAAACTCACTGACTTAAGGAAACCTTTGCAGGTGTAAATGTGTGATTTTACCTGGCAAAGTGTTCTGCTGTGAATACCACCTTCTGTTTTCAGATCTCTTTAAATCTGGGGCTGCAATAACACGTAAGGCTGATATATTCAGAACTGCCATGCAATCACTTACTCATCGTTGTTGTCACCAGCTGCTACCAGGTGAGTTATGTCTATTAGAAGAGCCTCCTCTTCCACCGATGAGTGAGCACTGACAATGAGTCAGGCCCATCCATCTCCATTCAGATGATGTGCTTCACACACTCTATTAGTCCCCTGTAACGCATGCTGCATTACAAACACAAATTACCTAAGATAGCCTCCATCAAAGGTAACGAACAGACCTTCCTGCCAGTAAACAGTGTGAGTCCTTTTGACTCGGAACGTGCTGCAGCGGTTTCTTTGGGTGCCTGTGAAGCTGTAGATGGTCACCTTTTTGTTTCTCGTCTTGGTGTTCTTCTTGTTTTCAAACAGCTGAAACAAATGAAAGGATGACAATCGTCAAAACACTGAAATTTCTCTTAATAACACTGTTTAATTAAGTATTATGGTGACGACTCTTTCTGGCCTTCACAGATGCTACCATAACATTTCCATACGGGACGATCTGTACTCACAAAAAATTGCACTGGAATGAAAATAAGCACATTCAAAGCTGCAGTGAAAACATTTCCATGCTACTCAAAAAGGAACAGTTTAGTGGCAGCAAGCAGCTCCACGAGAAAAATGCAGAGCCACAGGAGCAGATCAACAGGAGACCACAGAGATGGTGAGAGGGTTGGAGCACAGCTCCTGTGAAGAAAGGCTGAGGGAGCTGGGCTTGTTCAGCCTGGACAAGGCTCCAAGGAGACCTCACTACAGCCTTTCAGTACTTAAGGGGAGCTTAATTCTACAATCATGATATTTGTGACATGAACTCTTCAGTTCCAGAAGTCTGAAAAACCCAGAGCTAAATGCTTAACTCCAATGTACCACCAATTTAGCAGATGATCAAGTCTGCCCTCAGCGTAGAGTTAACTTTTCCACCTGTTTCAGTAGGAGGAAGATGGCTTCTCTCCAAGGCATTTCAAAGCAGCACTTTGAGCAAAAGGTATTTCTGTTTTCAAATCAAAGCATTAATCTGCAGAACTTCACTGTATTCACTGCCCTGCCTCTTACTGCTCTGCAGACGTCTTTCCATTTACCTCACCAAGGACTGAATAAGGTCACCAGCAAAAGTGTTCTAAGGTTATGCAGTGTACGTGGGGATGTCAGCGAGGAGTTGCCAAGGCAGCCCTTTAAAACAGGTAGAATTACGAAATGATTTCAGAAACCTGGAACTCAGAGTACCTTCCAAAAACAAGGAACATGTTTTCCACGTTCTGTACATCAGTGACAGAACACAGTGTAAATGCATAGCTGTTAAGAAGATACCACAGCAACACTAAAAATATTCTGCTGGTATTTATTATAGCTTCCAGCAGATCTGTGTTTTCAGATATAAGCTGCTGTAAAAAAAATCATCTATATAGCAACAAAATTCACTTAGCTTTCAGAACCTTACACAGACTACTTTAATAACATGCATACTACTTCTACTGATGGGATGCCTGCCTGCTCTCGTTATCTCATTAAGGCAATAGTCTCGTAATTTTTTTTCCCCTCATTTAAACCCATATAGATCTAAGCTGACTTGATGGAGGTATTCCAGATCTCCACTGGGAAACAAGAGCAGAGTCTGGCCCAGTGGAATGGTCCTGGACGAGAGCTGCAGGCAGAACTCCCAGTGCTTGTTGCTGGAAGGGGCTGGGGGTACTGAGCTCTTTCAGAGAACAGAGCAACAGGGAGGTGGTGGAAAAGGCAGTCTCATGCCAATCTGTTGTTTTAAGTAATACCTACTGTAAGAATAGTTTCAGATTTTGATTGCAGAGTCTTATTTCCCCCTATTTACACAAGCAACAATATTGAAGGCCATGAGTGTACCAAGCTAGATGGGAAGAAACACTCCAAGTAGTAACTTCAGTGGTCCTTTTTTGCTTGCAGAGAGATACAGTCACCTACCTGCAGGTCCATCTCTGCCAGGCTAATTAACATTCGTGCAATGAATCTTTGCCAGAAGCCAACTGGGACAAAACTCATCTTGAAGACCCTCTGGATGGTATTTGTGGTCTGGTGGCAGAACCCATGGATATCTAACGCTGGCTTGGTAGGAAGCAGATGAGGGAGGAGGTAGCTGAAACAAACCAAATTCAGCAGCTCAAACTTCAGCTACAGCTTGTAACAGTGAGTACATTGTTACTGGATAATAAGGCGATTCAGTCTCCAAAGAGATTTTTAATGGCACAGCCTACTGCATATAAAAAAGCTTTTAGGCTAAAGGCACTGCAGCAATACATGGAGAAGTTCATTTACACTATGGAAGCAAGCAGAGGCAAAACAGACATGACATAATTCAGCCAGGGCTATTGGACGGGGCTAAAATTGATGTAATCAGCAGGACATTTGTGTAATCACAAATTAAATGCGTGAAAATACAAGAGTCATTAGAACAGCTGTGATGCTGAGCCTCATTCAGGCTCGGTATCTTTATTACCGTGCTCTGGTAGTAAACAGAAGAATACAGCTGTGCTGCTACGTGCAGCAGAAGCTAAATGCAGAAACATACAGCAGCTCAGCTTCTTTAGGTCCAGAAGGTGGGGAGAGGAGGTGTGGTGGGAGGTGGCAACGAGACATTTACAGGCTACAGGGACAAGGCTGCTCTGGCTCTCATCCCAGCCCCAAGCATTAAGCATCTCATGCGTCAGTATGACAGTGCTCCCTGCTGCACTGTGCTGCTGGACTCCCTGCCACAGCCCTGACAAACTTCCACGGCAAGGACTCACAGTGCCAGACTGATGCCAGCAGAGATGTTACTTGCCTTCCTCCATCTCGTACTGCAAGCACAAACTAGGTCCAGCAGTGGATCTTTTCCCAAGTGTGGGAGGAAACCCAGAGCTACAGGACTACCAGAAGAGAGCAGTGCTGGAGCAGAAGCCCACAGAAAGTTTTCAAATTATTTTCAGATCTCTCAGTAAGCACCGAGTATTCACTTGTTCTGATCCTCATGCTCTGAGAAGCTAAAACTTTGGAAGCATAAAACTGTTTTGAAAACTACAAGCTTATGACTTTCAATACCTGCCAATAAATCTGTTAGTGGTGATACTCCTCTGTACCAAATAACATTCCAAGATGCTTATACGATCCAAAATCAGCCCAAATCACATTTACTTGTAAGCAGAAACACTGCTGTTTCATCAGCACTGAGCCTGAGAAAATTTGTCAGCATCTGGGGCTCATCACTGATGGGCATCATGACAGCAAGAAGCAAACAGCCAAGGGCCTTGATCAACATACAGTGACAGAGACAAGACACACTACTAGAACTAGTGTTGGGTCCAAATCCAACACTTTAAGCCTATCACATTTTCTCTCCAGCAGCTGTAGTACTCCGTAAAAACTGAAAAGTCACTTTGGAAAAGGTACCTATCACTGGACAACAGCTTTCTCCATATGTCACAGTCCATAACATCTGATGGTGTTTCACATGATCAAATTATCCCTTCCATAAAATTATCTTTGGAACGTACAACTGATGAAAACTTCTCTTCGCTTGCAAACTACAGTAAGAATGGTCATATTTTCAACTGCATTTTTACAAGCAGATCAAAGCTAAGTTGTAAGCACCTTAGGTGGAGAAATGGAGCGCATTAGCCTTGCTCTATACAAGTGGAGGACACACTTTATGACGGCCAGTAAATCTTCCTCAGTGCATCAGAGAAAGGGTCTATGAGCATTAGAATTAAGAAGGCCAGTGAGGCCCTTCTGGACCACAAGTATATAGTGGATTATAATACAGATGGAGATTTGATGCTCCTGAACAACAGCCAATGCAAATTTTGGAAATATGTGAAACATGCCCCCATCCACCCTTTCAGAACAGAGACCAGCAGCTGCTTTCTCTGCTCACTGCACAGAAATCCTATCTGGCAATCTAGGCAATAATCGCAGAAGCACAGTAACAAATAATTGCTCTGTGTCTGGCTGGCACGTTAAATTAATCCAACCTGCCAGAGCTGCAGTCTGTCAGTGGGAAGAATATTCCGTTAATGTGGCTTGAATCGCTCTAAAAAAGATTGGGCAGGCCATGAAAAAGCAGCTTCCTTATTTTGAGGCTCAAACAATGTGATTGCCTTGGAGAAAAATGGCAGAGAATGACGAGGAGTCCAAAAGTCATTTTGGACTAAGCAGAAACATCACTGCTGTATCTGTGTTAAGCCTGAGAAAATTTGTTGGCATCCGGGACTGGATAAGTGACAGGCATAATGACAGCACAGAGAATGCTGCACTTGTGCTGGCATTCAGAGCTCCCAAGAGGCTGAGGGCAACACAGCCATGCTGTCCTGGAAGGGCAAGGTAGTGAAATGCAAATGCTGCAGCAGAAGTGCACTAGGAGGACGGTTTCACCATTAACCCAACAACAGGCGGTCGCCAAGCAGATGGGAGAAAGAAAAATAGCAGGGAAGTCTGCCCAGAAGGAAAGGGATGGGGGGTGGGACGTAGGAGGGGAGGAAGATTCATTGACATTTAAAGAGAATGAGGTTTCCTGCGCTATTTCTAGGAAAACTATTGATGACCAGCTTTAGATGATGCTAAAAACTAAGGAAGTCACGTAGCTACTGAAGCAACGCTTTCCTGCTTTCACTAGAAATAAAACAGTCGTGCTTTCAGGGCTGATGTGATTACTGACTACAGAAAGTCTTCTGCCATACTCTGGAGCGAGGATCTTCCTGATGACTCCAGTCCATTTACATTTCAGGCCTAGCAGCCAGGAGCCTCACGTTCACTCTCAGCTGCAGCTGCGCCAGCCAAGCACTCAGAACCCCCACCTGTTCACCACCACATCTCTGCTCATTCCACTGCCCCTCTGTGCTGGTGGCCGAGTTGGTCCCCTGAGCATCCCTTACCCTGTCAGTCTCAATGCACTGCAGGGGCAAAGACTTGCCTTGGAAAGTTTTCGAACTCATTTGGTCTACAGGATGCTCGTACCAGACTGCTTACAATGACAAAGCCTGTTAACATCCACTGATTAAACGGCCAGTTTCCTCCAGCCTAGCTAAGCATCTCTAATTATCAACCTACCTGTTATTGGCTACTGGCAGAGCAATTTCAAACTTGGCCAAGAACTGGAAGTACTGCTCTTCAGTTTGTTCAGTGAAGCCCGTCCCAACTAGCAGCATCCTGAGATCCTCTGCTCGGATGACTCCATTTTTAGCTACAGACTTGGAGCTCTTGATGTTGAAAATCCTCTGCAGACATTCGGAGAGCCAGACGGGGTCAAGGAAGTAGAGATTTCTCAGGCCATGGCTTGTGTCTGGGAAATGCAGTAGTGTACCTGTTTCTATGAGGAAATTAATCGCTGCAAGAAAAAAAAGCAAAAACCAAAAAACAACAGAATTGTAGATGAGCAACAGACCAGTATTAGGAAAGCACAGCGAAAACGAGGAGGGAGATTAGGCAGCCTGAGCAGCTTTATTCACACCAAGTATAGACAGTGTGTAGCAAAACAAAAACACCACATACTTGAGGAGTGCCACTATCTGCCATTCCACTTGTAAACCCCCCACACTGTCTAACCATCCATATTTCTGTCCCCATTGCACCTCCCCCTTCACCCTCCTCCTGCCTGCCCACCAAGCCTGTCCCCAGCTCTTGCAGAGCAAGGCCTCCAGAAATATCACAGGACAAGGGCCCTATTCTTCACTGAATGTTTCAATTGGTCACACACTAATTGCCAAGAAATTATCAGCCTGCCATGACCTACCAGTCTGCAAGTCCTCGTAATCTTTGATATCATTTCCAGGGGTTTGCTCAATGATCAGCTCTATCTGTCTGTCTGTTAAATACTGCACATCATCATTCTGACTTCTTTTATGCTGTTCTGCAAGGACGGCTTCTTGAAGGCTAAGGTAACTCCTTGGAATCTGCAAGCCACATAAGAAAAACAGCAGGATCAGTAGCAGACAGCAATCACTCTGCTAGTGATGATCTGTCTAAACCATCTCCCCTTTACAAAGATCTTAAAAAATACTGCTTTTTCCAAAGCCATTTTGTACTCTTTGCATGCTTCCTGCAGCAGCAACAACTCCCAAAATCCAGTCCAAACCCAGTCCACAAAAAAAAAGCTGCCATTGGGAAGGAAAACCATCACAAAGCATAATTCTCACCAATCTCCCAGCAAGTTTCTGTGAGCAAATTGAGCTGCCAACATCCTTCATGTTGCAAGTGACATGGAAAATCAGCTGTCGGAGTCCCTCGAGGCCTTCCAAAGTCTTACATGAGAGCTCACTGCAAAAGTCATGCAAGGGTGAGGATTACCAAACCTTATCAGCACGCTGGCTTCCTTTCCATGCTCACTTTCTCTTATCACTGACTAAATTTCCTGTGTCAGATGAATAGGAGGAAGGCTGTCAGCGAGCATTTTCAGCTTCAGAGAAAAATACTAAGAGGTCTGGAAAATAAATCCTAAGCCAAACTCTGCTCTGCTTGCTTCATTTGCTGCAGAGGGCTCTTCTACTCCCTATGCACTGTGACCTATCTGGTCTTCCTTGGGACACCAACCAAAGCTATCACCCTTTTTCCCTTTACTGTTGCAAACATCCTGGAAGGGACTGAAAGATGAGGAAAATCCTGTGTTCCAGGAGTCTCTGGAGATGAATCCAGTCCTCCCAGCCTCAGATCAAAGAGACACGATGATGATGACTACCAGACACCTTTTCCCACTCTCATTCCGGCCCTCGCTCATCTGGGTTCTGTTATCTGGGAATTGGTGCTTAGATCCCAAAAGCTGGCCTTCATTCCGGCTTTGATAGCTAACAAACTTCTCTTTCCAATTCCTGCTATTTCTGGTCATTTTGTGGGCTGAATAAGAACAGTTCTCTTCCACTTTCCCCAACAAAAGGTCTTTCTAGCTGATCCCACACATGTTCCTGTGGCCAACAGAAAATCCTTTTCTAAAGCAACAAGCTTTATCTTAAACCTCAGCCATCAGAGGCAGGAGGAAGTCTAAGCTCTCTGTGATGCTGGCAGTGCAGTGCTGACAAACATCCCAGGCTCATCACACAGGGCTTTACAACATGCACCCTGCACACTCCTCCAGCAAAATTACGCTCAATTCAGGCTGGGAGAAAGGAAGGTGAAGGGGAATGGGAGGGATGCGGGGCAGGGAAAGGGAAAAAGTCCCCTTGAGATAGGATGAGTGAGATCACAATGACTGGAAAAGACGTTTAGAGGACTGAACCACAACGTGTTCTCCGCTGCAGTGCGTCTGCATGCCTCACACTGGCTCCCTGGTACTTCTCCCATCCACAGCCAGATGAAAGAGCCAGCTGGGGGGCCTGATGCAAAGCTTGCATTTGCAGAGCAGAGTGTGGGAGGTCTCCTGACAGCTCTGCCAGGCAGCAGATGCGAAGCGCAATGGGACACAGCAATGCCCTTCTTTACTTGCCAGCTGCCACCTGCTCGTGCCCCAGGCATTGGCAACCTCACGCTATTTGGAGCTGTTTGGTGCCAGCCGGTTGCATCCACGCTCCCTCTGTACTGTGCACTTCCTTGGCTGACAGAGCCACTCTTTCCCCAGCATGAAAGCCTCCTCTTCCCAAGGGCATTTTCCATCAGATGGGAGAGAGCTGTGTGAGGCTCCGTGGCCTGACACCGATCTGACAGGCAGCACAACCCCTGTGCTACCACATACAGAGAGCTGAAATGGCTCAGCTTTGGGCTGATGGTGGCTCGTGGGGCTGACTCACCCTTCACTGTGCTCAGGCAAGCAAGAAGTTCCCACTCAGCCTCCTCTACCAAACCTTGCAGTGCCCCCCATGTAATCATCATGACTGGTAAAATAAGCTTTGCAGCATTAATTACTCAATCTGCATGTTCTAGCCCTGTGACTAATTAATAAACCATGCCAGCATCTAACCAGTGAGAAAGCTGAGCAGAACAAGAGCACTGAAAGACACAGCAAAGGTCACGACTTCAGAGCTCCCAGCTTCAGCCCCACGATCAGACCTCTGCACCACACTGAACTCCTCTCTGATTATACCACGTTACCTCAATCAAAAAATAGATAACGTGCCACGCTGACAAGTCTACAAATTGGTTCTGTTGCCAAGGAGATTAAGTATTACGAAAATCGTTTAAAGTGACATAAAATAGAGTGACTGAGCTTCATAAAGGCAAACACACAAGTACTTACTGCAGGTGCTTGAACGTGATATCTGGGAAACCAGTTGCTCTGGATCCAGAGGGAGAGCGACAGAGAGCCAGGACGTAAGCCCTCAGCGTTGCTATCCTCTCAACACGGAATTTGGTTTCAATTAAGTCAAGGTGTGTTCCTACCACTAACACTGCTGAATTTGGAGCTTTGGCCTGCAAGAGAAAACAAGGACACTGATCTAATCTAGAAAACTATGTCCGCTGCTCAGACAAAGGAGAAATTAGCTTAACCTGTAGCTGGAAGACCTAACTGTGATAGCCTGGAAAAGGTAAGAGACACTCCAGGAAGGACACCTAGGGAAATAATACAAATATTTGCACTGGAGGTATATGGAGAGGTGAGATAAACTGCTAGAAATGCCCAAATCTACTCCATCTTGAATCAGTGCGAAGGAATGGATGAGATGATCTTGTGGTTTCTTCCAACCCTTCCATGATTCTATCACAGAACTGGAAAATACCCAGATTTCAGGAAACACACTGCCAAGTACAATGGGATTGCAAAAATTTAAGCAGGGATCAGCCAGTGGATCAAAAGGACTTCAACCACAAAAAAATACTCTGTTCCTATTCTTGTTTCAAACCACCACCTCCTTCTCTCACTTGATCTCTCCTAGTTTGTCTACAGACGATGAACAAATACTTTCTTGGGGTTTTTGCATTATTTTCTCATAACCTAGTCTATTACAGCCATTATCTGCCCCTTCCCCATGCTGAAAAGGTCTATTTAATTGCTCTGCATTCAAAAATATTTCCATACTTATAAGCATCATGCTCACATTTCTCTGTATCTTTTCTGAAGCTGCTATGTGCTTATTGGGGTGTGCGAAGGACCACAGGCACATCACACATCTGAAATACAGTAATTATCTTCTCTGCTTTGTTACTTAGCTTGTGCCTTTGATTGCTGTTGAATATTAAGCTAACATAATTGCAACGTCAACATGTTTCTTTGGAGAGGCACCACTTTAGAGCCCCTGTCTGTGTACGTAATGTAAAGGCAGATATCTAAGTCATGAGCATTGAACAAAAACCAGTCAATGCCAATTAATTCACTGCAGCTCCGAGGCTCAGCAGACAGCTGTCCAGGAGATACACTCCAGCTTATCTGGATCTAAAGTGTTAAAACCTTAATGTTAAGACTAACATGTGTCTAACCCACACAGAAAAGAAGGTGCTCCAGAACTCCCTTAGAGCAGTGTGGTCAAACACTAATTCCAAAACAAGTACGTTCGTCCTTACTTAGTAAGGGTTTATAAACCAGCTTTTGTTTTACTCTCTGACATGTGTGAGGGAGAACACAGCAGATGATAAACTTAAATCCTTAAATGTGGCAATAACGCCTACAGTGCAATGGAAAATTAATTCCAAAAAGCTATGCAAAATTCATGCGGAGCGTTTTAAAAGCAGACTAAAAGGAATCTGTAATATCACATATCTATGTGCTGACCTACTGCTTGATAAATAGATGCCCTGGAGTCCACCAGTGACTTCTTACCTCAATGTTCAGCAACCAGAACTGTAAGTTTGCCACAGCTTCTTCCCCCAGTGCCAAGTTCCATACAACTATGTACAATGCTTTGTCTGTGAAGAAACACTGATTGACTGTAGACATGCTCGCTGGGCCTCCGATATCCCAGACATTGAACTCCACTGAATCAACCTACTTGGACAAAGAGAAGTGTTCAAATCAAACGGTTGCAGTAAATCACAGCGAGATAATAGCCGAAGCATAAACCTACGTCTGCATAATGTATGAAACAAGGAGGGTTTCAATGTCCTAATTGTGCCTTCAGGAAAGAAAAATCAACAAGCAATTGTTAAGCATGGCTACCACTTCCCCACAGGAAATAAAGACTAATTACTTGCTGCTAAAATAATAGAGGTGCCCTTGATGCTGGTAAATCTCCAGTTAAGGCCGTGGATTCTCCAGTACAAACAAGGATTTCATTCTGAGCCCTCTACTTTGCTGCATCTTGAATAGAAACTGCTTCATCCTTGTCTGTGCCACGCTCGACAGCACTGCTGGAGCTAGTTATCTGCCACTGATACGGGGAACAGGAAACCCTCACTGAAATCACTCCGTGGAGCTCAGCCCCAGCTGAGTCACACCAAATAAAGGTGCCTGGGAGGTGGGAAACTTCTCAAGCCTTGCATAAAGACATCCTGCACGCTGCTTGGAGGCTGTCAGCGTGCCACACCAGACAAGAGCCAGAATTACAGCTCCATGTAATTCACTCACTGACTTCAGGGGAATGTGTGAATGGCAGTCTCTTCAGCTCAGCATCCATTCCACAGTGCAGGCCCACGACAGCAGTGAGAGCGGTACAGCTCTCTGCTTGAATGGCATTCAGCTCCCACCTGCAGTAGGATGTATCTATGTGTCTTTGAGGCTCTGTCCCTAAATCATTTAACTCTGGGGAGGCAAGGAGCCAGTGGCTGCACAGGGAACCCTTCTCCAGCCACCATCCTCTGATGACATCACATAACCCTGACTGAGGTCTGTTTATCGATCCAGGTCCAAGCACTGTCTGATCCCACACACTAATCTTACCCCAGAAGACTTCAGAAAGAAGTCAAGCATCTCAGCATGGCTCCTATCTCCTAGCATAGTCCCAGTCTGAAGTCTCCCAGGAACAGCTGGAAGAATTCCCATATTGTTTAAACCAAACCCTAACTAGCACCAGGGCTGCCTTGTTCATCCAGGAGACCTTGAGTTGTGGGTGCTTGTACGGAAAGACAGACTCAGAGGTAGGGACAACAGCCTGTTCAGCAACTTGGATCCCACTCTGGGTTTCCTGCACTGTCTAGGCTTTTGTTTTATTCGATTGCTCTTCACAAAATGCACAGCTCTTCTCCCACCAAAGTCTTCTCCTTAAAGAGCTGGGCTGTGCTTGCTCTTTTTCTTTCTGTCTCTGGCTTGGCACTCTGCTGTATAATAGCTGAACTCAGCAGGCTCCTTCACCCCTTCCAAAACAGCCTGGTGGCCATGGCTCTCATATGAAAAGTGAGAGCCATGTGTTTGCACATCCTCAGCTCTGTCAACAGCCCAGGACCAATTCTGCATGCTCTAATCCCTATATGGCGGCAGAAAGGGCCACCTACAAACCTCTCAAATACTTGAATTAATTCAGTGCTGTACAAATTAGCTCAGTATGGATTGACCTACCCTCTGGATGAGCTGCCTGAGAACTGGATGTTTAAGGCATGCCTTAGATATCTCCTGGGATCACAACCAGAGCTCAGGCATCCTACCTTCCACCCATCTTCCACATTTAGAATAGTTCTGTCATCAAGGGAGTCAAGCCTTAGGCACGATGACCTGTTTTGTGGCCCCATATGAATGAACAATCTGCTTTAGAGAAGCTGATTTAAAATATTCTCTCAAAGTCAGTGTCCAAAAGCCACCCAAGCTGGGAAACCCAAAATTCAATCAGTCTACAAATGGCTCTCACTCTTTAGGACGAAAAGTCAAGGTTGAATTCTCAGGAAAACAGAACTGTCCTCTAACATCAAATGGAAATGGAACAGAGGGATTGTGACAACTCTAAAATGTCACTTGCGAGGTGTGCTTCACAGGTAAAGGGAAACTGCTTCTGTTGGATCCTTTCAGCCCCAAAGCCCCCTGTGGGGCACAAACAGCCCATTAGGGTTAATAAATATCTTCAACTGCTCTTCACCTTTGCCTTGTGTCCCACTGGCTTGGGTAGCTCCCATTTTGTTGTACGTATGGTGGCATCGCTGTGCATCATCTGAGGGACTTTTCCTGTCTGGAGGATCTCTATCAGAGTTGACTTTCCCTGTCGTGGAGGACCAATGACGATCATCTTCATCAGCTTACACTTCTCTGCTTTGCGCAGCTGTGCTCGTAGGTACGCCAGAACTGTTTTAGGGCCTACAGAGAGGGGGGAAGAAGACAGGCTTGATCTCTGGTTTGCAGTTACAAATGCACATACGTGCAGCTGGACTGCACAAAACCCACTGCTGCAGACGTATCAGCTGAATTAATATTTTCCTTGAAGTTTCTCTGTGGGCTGAGGCAACCCAGAGAATAAACAAAGAAACCTCCAGTGGACAAACGTGAGACAGAGAGCCCAAAAAAGGTCACTGCTCTGAGACTCCACAATGGAGCACTGTAAGAAGAAACAAACGCCGTGGCTCATATGCTTCAGAAGCTCAAAGGAAACATAAAATACTAATTTAGTATTGGAAAATATTGTTTTCCCTTCTACTTTTATGTTTCTACTTAAAATTAGATTTAGTCTTGTGCTAGAGAGAAGGGATAATTCCTAATAACTTTGTTCCCACAGGATTTTCTTGTTACAACACACAAAAAAGAAGACAGTATTGTAATCGATCCAGAAACCTAGCAGCTTACAATAAAGTTACTGCAATGTGACTGCGACTGCTGATCTTAAATGCTTCAGTCTTTAGAAACAGTGTCTGTACACCTTAAACCATAGGCATTCAGGAAGCAAGCCATGGAGTTCACCCAGTATGCACACTGCAAATGAAGTGCTGCATTTGTAAGTCATCACTTCCACATGCAATCTACCTTAAATGGTGCTGTAACACAGCACTAACTAACTTGCAAGCGTGTGTAGGAGTTTCACTCCATGCAATTGCAGTTAACTGCCACTGGGGCTCACAGTGTTCCCGTTCAAAACTGTTGAAAAGAAGCTGCTTTCATTATATGTTCAGTCAACGTAATAGAGAACTCACAGGATCAGACTTACCCTCCTTTCTGATCTCTGCAGGAACATTGCTGATACTCAGTTCCTCGATATCCAGCTGCCAGAGATTAGCCAGCTGTCCAAGTTCTGGAGGAAGCTCTCGGATACCAGGGTTACTGTACAAAAACAAATACATCTACCAACAACCAGGCTTTGTGTCTAAGTAGCTTCTCTCACGGACTCTCACATTACACTATTCTCTCCTCGTAGAAATCTTCCATTAACATTTTAATAAGACCATTCAGCACTTTAATAGTAATTTCCATCCTAAAAGTGATGCATAACCTCAGCGTATCCTCTGGGGCAGACAAGTGTAATCATTTTTACTGGACAGTTGAGAAAATACAGGCAAAAATTATGAATTATTGACTCAAACGCTATAGAAGCAGGCAGCAAAAAGCCAGAATTAAGTAGAGGCACACTAGATTCCCAGGCCTGTGTTCAAAGCATTAGATCATCTTCCCTAATTCATAAGGCTGGCCTCCTCCTTATCTAAAGCAAATGATGGGCACGGCTGGAACAAGGAGTCCACTATTTCCAGCTTTGTGACTTCAAAGGCATTGGCCATCTGGGGTGGGGCTTCATAGAAGATTGGTCACTAAAACAACATGGAAATAACACTGCCTAGCTTTCCCAGAACGTGGACTTACTTTCCCAAATAAAGTTCTGTTAAACCTTTCAGAAGGCAAACGGACTGCGGGACGGACTCCAGCTGATTGTCATTCAGATAAAGGACTTCCAGAGAATCGCTCAGAAATGCTGGGAACTCCACAAAAGGACCTGAAACAAGACAGGAAACAAATTGCACCTTTAAAACACAACAAGAACCGAGGCTCTGTACCAAGAACCTTCACCTTCACTCTGCGGGCAGGACATGAAATCGCGTTCCTTGGCAGGAACCACCACAAAGCAGCAGCAGAAAAGCCAAGAGCCTTCAACAGAGATCAAACATCAACGCTCACATCCCAGTGTTTTAAAGTCAGAAAGGTGCACGTGCTTAAGGTGACAATCTCCAGGCCTCCAGGGTGTTGGAGGAGGAACCCCAGGCCTACTGTGACGACTGTACTTTGGAGCAGGTGTGGCATTTTGTTTCTCATTGCTGGTAGCACCTTGCAAACTGTCCCAACTCCTGCCGACCAGCTTGCAGTGAAACAGCGTGCCAAAGGCACGAGTGCTTCTCAGTGTGCTTTTTTCACGTTGAAAAAGGAAACCAAATCGGTCCAAATTTATGGCCAGGCCTTCACGTTGCAAACTGGAGCAACAGCGGTAAATCATGTCAGGAACAGCAGAGATGAAAACCTGAATTGCAACTGACAGACTGCTAACCTATGGCACCTCTAAAGCACTGCTTGCATTTGTCTCTCTGCTCTGCAAGGTCTCATAGAACTTCTGCCTTCCTATATGTCTGAGCAAAAAGCAGCTTATTTTGAGAGCAATCCAAGCAATAACAGAGACATTGCATGGCTGACTTGCTGTTGCTGGGGAGGATCAGACAAAGGAAAATTCAGTTGGTTCCAAAGAGCATCATTTTGCTCCACAAATTACTCCAGGGAGAGCGGCATGAAAAGCTGCCATGAATTGTATTGCTGTCTTAAGACTGTCACATATATCTACCAAGAAGCATCCTGAACTCAAAGAAAATCAGGCCACACAGGAACATGCAGATTTTGAGCCTCTGATTAGGAAAGTACAAGCAGCACCATCTGCTGCCTCCAGAGCCTATAAAAGCAGCTCTGAGAGCTGATGTATATCCTTCCTCTAGGATGGACACAGTCACACTTCCACCAAGATCTTCCCTCACCAAGAAGCACAATGAGGAACTGGAACTCGATTTAACAACAAAAAAAAAAGTTCTTTTTTTTAACAGCATTCAAGGCCTGAGCTATGATCAGGAAGAAGTGAGATGGAGCCCCACTGTGTCTGCAGGCATCTGTTCTATACATGTCAGGACGGCTCGGTGTGGGCAGGGCGTCACAGCCTGCCTTTGAGTTTTCGAAAAATAATAATTCCTCTTTGGGATTATTTTAGGAGAACAGCAGGTTTATTCATCGATCCCATTTACTTCATTTCTGGCTCATCACTGGACTTAAACTTTTCATTGTTCCTCTTCAGCACGCAGCTAGGCACAGATTTAGTCCCTCCTGGACACGTAGGAGCAAGCACCCAAAATAGCTGCAATACTCAATTCACCAAAGAGTCCAAGGCGAAAAGGACTCTACTATACTGGAAGCAGGCTCAAGGTGTTTATGAATTGCAATTATTTATTCATGAGTTATTTATGACTTTCCTGGCTTGAGCTCAAATTTTCTTTTAAAGAACTTTAGAAAAATTAAAACAAATCCCATCTTGAAAATATATTTTTGGATGAGTAAACGCCACCAATGCCGTGTGCGTGCGCAAGAAGTTATTCTGAGATTTATCAATCAGGTATAGTGAGCATCCATTAATTACTTTCTTTAAATAATCTTGAGTAAATAGCTTTGTTGGTAAAAATCATGTGAAAACCTGCCCTCCACCTCGCTGGGAGATTTCTGTGAGTAGCTGATGTATTCCAGCTTCTGTTTTCTCTTGATGTTCCTTAAATTCTTGGCCACATCCTGTAGTCTCACCAAGCTATACTTGGCAAAGGAACAGAGAGAAAAAGATGAGCTGGCTTTGCTCTGTCTCTGTGGCTATTCAACGTAGCACCAGCCAGGTAGGTTACTCCAAGCCCTGCTGCAACCTGCAGCACCCTCAGGCAGCTCTGGGTTGCACCAGGCCATCATCAAGGATTTCAGATGGTAACAATGCAGAGTCCAGCCCTTCCTGCCTTACGTAGAAGAGTTATGCCGGGTTTGCAACGCACAGAAATCCCCATAAAGGCAGCAGTTCCTTTTGTAGCTGGTTTTAGCTCTGCCTGCTGCTCCTGCCTTCATGCCCCCTTGGGAAATGCTGTGGCACTTGACAGAGGAGGTCTGACATCTATCTTCAGACTCCACAGATAAGCATGATTCACACAGCTGTACATCTTCCCTTACTGTAAACTAGTGCACTCACCAGATTTACCTATTCACATTGATGCAGATGCACATTTTTGGGGGGAATTCACTAGGAAAGCATTCTCAAAGATGCTTTAGAACAAGCTATTCTCCAGGCCGTCGAGAGTGCTCTCCAAGTGATTTACAATAAAACAAACAAACAAAAAGAAACAGAGATGAATCCCACAGCGAGCAGGAAGCCGTAAAAATATCCTCAAATACTCCTTTGTTCTCTGTGAGATTTCATGTGCACAAACACAGGACATCTCTGCTCTGCCACAAACCTCAGGTACAAATCATAGAGACAGGGCAAAATGTGCGTTTACACAATCAACAACTGAGACGATCCTAAGAGTAATAACACTAATTATGGGTTAATTTCCCTTCAATACACCAGTCAGCGCTCTGGCTGTAAAGAGTAATCATCACGAAAAGAATAAAAGCTCCACAAAAGGAACAGGTTTCACCTTTTCATCTTTCTTTGCTGATGGTATCAACCAGCTGCACCACTTTAGGAACATTTTATCTAGGCACATTTCCTCTTTCTTTAAATGCCGTTGCACTTAAAGTTGAGGCTGAATTTACGCTTATTTCCCTCAGCCAAACTCCACAGATCCCTGCTGCTTCACAGCCCCCCTCAGCCCACGCTCAGCATTTGCTCTGCTACGCCCCTTACCTGCCTCTGGGCCTCCACGCACCCTGCTCCTCGTTGTGAAAAAGGGAATCCGCTTTGTTTTATATCCCTCGTCATTCCTGTGAGCAAAACAGAATGGCAACGTGTGGAAAACTGAGCTTGGATGTGGCAGGTGGGAACTGCGCTGGAGCTCCGTGCCCAGGAGAGGTGAGAACAGGTGAAAACTGCTCTGTCCCCACTGGAATCTGTGGGATGCCCAGTTCAGCTCTTACAGGTTCCTGTCTGGTTTTGATAGGACTGAAACCCACTGAGCAATCACAGAGCTAAACTCCACCAACACTTGTCCAGGCTCTATGGCTTTCTTCTGGCAAACGAACAGAGCTCTGCAAGGCAGTGCTTTCAGCTCCCAGGGTGAGAGCACTTGACCTGCAGCTTTATGGGTGTCAAGGTTAAGTAGCCTGTCAAACAGCAAATTGAACAAGCTTCAGGAAGAGCCTTAGAGAACTGACCTGCTGCCACTCCCTGCTCTCAGCAGAGAGTTTCTGACAAGACGACCCAACAACGTGACTCTGGAAAGATGCAGAGACACTCACAGAATGGTAACATCCTTTTAGCAGTGGGCACAGCAACTCACGAGAACTCCAGAAAACTTGCTGGGCAGCCTCCCAGATGAGAAGATTAAAGTTAAGTGCAGTTCTGGAGAAGACTGGGGACTGTTAAATCTCTATGCTAAACATCCCTGCTGTAATTGCTAAATAGAAGAATATCACCTTTATATCGGATGACCTTATTAACGTCACTACTCCCTATAAACTCGCAGCTGGCTTCCATGTAAAAAACAAAGATTTTTCATCTTTTCCAAAACAACACTCCCACGCTAACTGCGTGCTATAGTCCAGCCAGATGGTTCATGGTTAAAATACGCTCCCCAAAACTACACTTTGCAGTGATGAACCATACACAGGGTTAAAGAAATTTTTGCATGCTCTGAAATTAAACTGCCACTATCAGTAATCTATCCATTTAATAAATGATATAGCGTGCTAAGTGCCCAAAGAAGCAGTAACGGGTAATTCATCACTGTCACAGACACACAATGTACTTGGAGACATGGTATGCAGATATCAATGCCTTCTATGCAGGTAATTAATTCACTACTCACACCCTTTGCATTACAAGAAGGATCAGCTTTGCTGTTATTTCTTCAGCTTTTGTTTTCTTTGATATTTTTAAAGCAACCAACACTTACTTCCCAAGCTGGTTTTTTGAAAGATCCAGTGATTTAAGCTGCTTGCAATTCCACTTATCTTGCGAAGGTAACGTAGTTAAGTGATTTCCCAGCAACTTCAGGGACACCAAAGCCTAAAAAAATAGCTTGCAGTTAGAAGACAAAGTATCCCAAACACCCAGACAGAGTTTTTTCAGCATGACTTTTCAAAACTGAAACACAACGTACACCTTTTTCCATCAGTACACCCTGTCCAGCACGCCTAGCATGCAAAAAAAAAATTGTCTCCAGTAAGTTTATCTTTTGTGCAAAGCAATGCCAACATTGGTTTGGGGAGATTATTAGTCTACTTGCTGACAGATTCAATTGGAAACAAACCTTTTAGGAGAGCATTTATTCTTAGTAAGGAAATCATTACAAATGGAAAAGAACAGTATGATCTATATATATAGTAGGCCACGTAAGGACATGTGTGTGCAAGCTCATGTCAGAGTGGGCTTATATCTATTGTGCAAGATGAAAAATGTGAACTACTTCAGACAAGGAAAGTTTGTAAGTGCTTTGTCAGTGTATCTATACACAGAATTTCCCACCAGGTTTATTCTATGAGGGCTCCCATGAAAACGGAGATAAGCAGACTAAATTATCTCGTGCCCTAACTACAGCAGTATTAATGAATTATACCCAATGGAAATCCTGTTTTACTAGCAGAGCCTTAGGCTTCAAGTGTGTCAAATGTTTTCTATGCTCCACACAACGTAAAAGGTTTACGACCCTTTTCATTAAGGAAGATGAAGAAGCCAGTCTCCTGGCCATCCCTTTTCCTCAAATGGAAAAAGAGGAGGCATCCATGCGACATGGACACCCAGCAGCCCTGCGGTGGAACTGCCATGCAGCGTGCTCCCTCTAGTGACACGAGAGGGGCAGCACTGGGGAAGGCAAAGTGAAACAAAACTGCGAATATGTCGAGGGAACAACCAGGGGAAAGAGCTGGTGAAGCGTGCAGACTTGAAAAACCCTCCCTGTCCTCGCGTCCTAATAGCCAATGCTTTTAGCATCAGCTAGCTTTCTGCTGGCTCAAGCCTCCCATTGGAAGGAAGGCCCAGTCCTCCCTTGGCACCCGGTGCACAGCTCTCTCCAAGGGTCAGCAGGGGGCTGCTCCATGGCAGAGCTTCAGAATTCTCTCCCAAAATATCCCTGAGCAGGGGCTGAAGGAAAGGGTTTGTTCTGCATGGCCTAGCTGCAATGCTTCGTTCTCAGCCAGCTGTGTCCATGCTACACATTGCCCACAAATGCTGACCAAAGCTGCTCTCCGTGAGACCTAACAGCCTGGTGAGACCCTATGCAATACTTATGTGATTCTCCATAGGGGGAAGATGGTTACTTCTAACCAGCTGTGACTCTTCATGACTCTAACAGGAGATGGACAGCCCTTGTTTTGCAATTGCCTCCTCTCTCTCATCTCTAACTTCTTCATTTTGCTGCCATTCAAGAAGGGAATGAGCGCTTCTAGATGTGAGCTTCCTTCCAACCTGCTGCCACAGCACGCAAAGAGGCCTCTGGTATCAGAGACAAGGAACTGCAGCATCCAGATCAGGCTGCCTCAGCCAGCTCATGACATGGTAAAGCTGACCAGCATCTTATCTGAACAATTCCAGGCAGGGAGAGAAGCTAACTAGGCTTGGAACTACGTTCCCACTTACTGGAATTATTTTAATGCATAAAGAAAAGTTTTGGAGGCAACAGCTCAAAGGATTCATTCAATTCCAGGAGAAATACCAATAGAAAACAAATGGTAACCAGAACGGAAGCACAAATCTGTAAAGATCATTAAAAACAACAGAGGGAGCAAATGATCCTCAGCACTCTTCTGGGCAGGAGCAAGAGGTACCTTTGCAGCAGGCTGCCAAGGTCCAAATTGGACATGGATACAAACCATCACTTCTGCATCACTTCCTCTGAGGCCAGCAGTGCAAGAACTGCCAAACTTCTGCACAAATAATAACCTGTTCCTGTCTACACGACCTTGAGATCCACAGGCTAGAAGGGAACCTTGGAGGAAACCCCCAAGTTCTGCTTTGTTTCAAGTTAAAACTCTGCAAAGCCACAAATTCTGAAGAATTCTGAAGTAACACTGCGAGCTCCGATGGGAAGAATTATTTATTTGCACAAGACCAAAGATAAGAGGTGCCAACCAGCTTCGCCAAGGGCATTCAAACATCCAGTTTTCAAAGGTGGGAAGAAATGATGCTTACTTCAAGCTGAAAAAGCCCTGGTGGAACTTCTTTTAGTGAATTCTCAGAAAAATCCACTTCTCTGAGGTGATTTTTCCAGAAAACAGTGAATGTGTCAGGTAGGGATTCCAGCAAGTTTCTGGATGCTTTGCAACATTTCTGGAAAACGTAAAAGAAAAAACACCCAAGCAGTAGTAATTATCTCTTTAAAAAAAAGAAAAAAGAAGGTCAGCTGTCAATTACACATTAATTCCAGATGATTTCTTCAGGTATTTTGATCTAAATAAATTCCTGTGCATGAAGGCATGTATTATTTGCTGAGGAGATGCATTTACATAACTGATGATCAAATTCTTTGTTCAGCAAGAAAATATTTCAAAAGTTGTTTGGAAAATAACACCCATTGGCTTTTCATCATAAACTCTTAACTAAAGCGTGCTGTTCTGCCATCAATAGGGTCTTATTATTATGGGAAAACATAATGACAAGGATAAAAGCATCAGTGACGTGCAGGCATAAACTCCCCATGTTATCCATTGGTTTGGGCAAAGTTAACTTTAGACAAAAGCTGATCATTCAACAAAAACAATCCTAAAAACACTTCAGCTCATACGAACTACAAAGAAAATTAATCTAAGACGTTTTTCTAGACTTCCAGCAACGTCATCAACATTTACAGAAAGAGGCAGAACCTCAGAAAGACCTGCTCCGAAACTTATAAACCATATCTTGCAGGGGTAATCCTGCAGAAACAGGACACCCCTTCAGCCTAAAACATCTAACAGCTTCATAAGCATCGCTATATACATATATATATAAAAATTTGCACAATTTCAACAGCTTTTACAGCCTCTGACTCTGACAGAGCAGCATGACTTACCAAGGGGCAGGCCCAGGGGTCTGGAAACACTTTCAGCTGATTTCGGGAAACATTCAGTATGTTTAGGGACTTGAAGCAGTATAGAAAAACCGTTGGAAGTTCCACCAACCTGTTGTCAGAGACGTCAAACTCCTGCAGCTTCCTTAAGCCAATCCAATTAGTTGCTAGAAAACACAAAGCATTGCAGACTTTGTAAGCAAAGTGACAGCATTCTGACCCAGCAAGATGCTGAATACTTGCTAGATAAGAGCTAAAAGGCATTGTGAGTGATTAAAAATAAACAGGCCTTTTCATGTACTTTGGACAAAGACTTGGGAGACGTTAAGCATCTGCTGCTAATACTGGCTTTTAGCTGTAATAACAACAGTTTGGGGTTCTCCTCCCCAGATCAGGCCTTGAAATGGAAGTGCAACAAGGGACTGTACGTACTGTTTTCCTCGTCAAATAACTTCTCCATATAGTTTTTGGCAGCGTTGAGTTTTTTAAGGTTTTTAAGATGTAGGAATCCAGAAGGGAGAGTAGAAAGTTTGTTGCTGGATACATCAACCTCAAGTAACCTGTGATTACAGAAGACACTCAGTCAGTCATCAGTAAAATGTTAGCAAGACTCCTGTTGCCATAGGCATCCATTTTATCAGGACAACTTTAGGTGTGGATGAAAGCAGCTGGAGTGCATCTCACAGAGCAAAGCAAAAAACTCTATTTAGAAAATTAACCCTATCAGGGAAACAACAGCAGTTTGAGATAACTGACATCAAATATCCATCTGGTCAGCTCAGGGCTGAGATTCTCCTCATGAAGGAATGATGCTCACCAAAACTGGGCAGGAGCAGAAGCAGCATGAGACAATGAGGAATAAGGTCTGAAATTCCCTACAATTGACCTGACAACTAAGTGTGTGATGCTGAGAACGGCAAAGGGCAAATCTTCAGTTCAACTTTACAACAGGCAGAAAAACAACCAAGAAACTCCTGTCTCTGCTTTTCATAGAGGCAGTTTTCACACTTGCACCTGCTCTCCGTAAGGGCTTGGTTTGCTGTGGGCATCCAGCACACACCTTGTACATATAATCTCATCGGATGACTGTACGCTGGGTAACTCTGCCAGCTGATTGTCAGCCAGGCTGAGCTTCCTCAGGTTCATCAGGCCCCATGGGACCACGGATGGAAGGGAGACGAGGCAGTTGGCAGACAGATCAAGCTCTGTTATCTGACAGGAGATATCAATCAGCCAGTCCAGATCCACCCAGGGCAGTTTGAGGTTTGACCAGTTCACGCACAAAGCCTGCATATGTCAAGAAAAGAGAAAAACACATTAGTAAAATCTTGCTTGCTCTCAGTCTGTTACACCACTGGGAATCTGGCAGATCACAGCACAGGCTGTAAACATTTTGCTCACTTTCCAATCTGCTTCTAGGAATTAAACTGACTCAGAGATGAAGTCATGCCTGGATATCAGCAGCCTGCACTATAGAGTCACTCAATGACTTCACTCCAAAGACCACGACTGAGCACATGCAGGGGACCTGGGCCACACACTGCTCCACAAAGGAGGGCTGCCATGGCCTGAAACCACCCAGAGCTCCACAGACAGATTCTCAGGCACTGCTCTTCCATTGTAATCTTCCAGCAACAGCAGCCCAGAATAGCTGGGGCAGGTTAAGACTTTGCAAAGGAGCATCTGGGACAAGCAAATGTCTTATTGTGAGGCACTTCTCAACAACAGAAGTTTGTTGAGTGTTATTTAGCAAGGTACTTTACTAAGAGGCATGATTTTGGCAGTTGTCACCTCCTTTCTAGGTAACATTCTGCTGCTTTTGACAGTTAGATGAGGAAGCTGTTTTATCCTCTTATGGAAATAAAAAACAGAAGTTGTTGTGAAAGGCAAAGCTATTTACTTCAGTCTCCAGCTCAGCCAGGAGAAAACATGAACACATAATAGTCATCAATGTCAGGAAACAAACCAAGCCTTCATTTACAAAGTCTTTCCACTGTCTTCCAGGAAGATCTACATTTCAAATGACTCCCTTTCACACTGCTGTTCCCAAAATGTTTTTGTAAACTCAGTGTTTTTGGCATCTCTCTCCAATATGGAAGCCTCGATGAAGCAATTGTTAATTCACCACCAGGAGGCAGCAAGGACCTGACAGCAAGTTTAATTTGCTTTCAGTTTGCAGTATTTAACTCTGAAGCTTTTTAACCCTAAATTTTAAATGAAAAGGAACACATTTGGGAAAGGGAGAAGGAAAGGGGAAAAAAAAAAAAAGTACTGCAGATGCTTTCTTGCCACTCAAAACTCCAGGTAATGGAAGCTGCATGGTTTAATGTCTAGGAGGATGGAATAAAAGGTAGAAAGTTGTACTTTTTAGAAAACAAAAATAATTATGTTACTATCTTACTATGACATAATGCTTCTCAGAGGTTCACAGTGAAACCTTAGGGTGGCCCAACAGATACGAATGGAAATACTGTGCTCATGGCATCGCTGGGGAAACCAAGGCAGAGAACGAGCTGTTTATCTAAAGCTCCATTCACCACCATGCTGCAAGGCATCCGTTTCAAACAGGCCAAGCCAGCTATCATGAGAAATCAACTCCAGCAGAGTTACTGTGTGCATCTCTTACATCAAAACTCTGCTCTGCTGTTAGATTTTCCATGTCTGTATGTTTAACGGCTTCCTGCTTACAAAACCTTGCTTAAAAGTTTGTAGGCATTTTTCCCTCAGCTGTAAAAGCCCAGGAGCAAGTTGACATCCCTGGACAGCAATCTTGTGTGATTTATGCTGTAAAGGAAGCCATTTCTAGCCACTTCATGCTTCAGGAGGGATGCAGGGATGTGGAGCAAGTGCTAACAGGCTGGAATATTTTTCTGGCATGAGGAAACCTTACTGGAAAGAGCACATTTGTGCTGAGACACTTGACTCATTTTTCCTTGTGCTTTGAATTATCCCAAGAACTGAAAACAGCAGCCAGCCCCTGAATCCAGGTAATGCAGAAAGCAGTTCTACACTATGAAGCCTCAAGTGGTGCCTGTCCAGCCACTCAGGAGCATGCTCAAAGCACCTGTAGTACTTCTATTTTTCATTGTAGAGAATTCTCAGCTGGTTGAGCTTCCAGCTGAAGTCACCAGAAACAGATTTGCTCCAGCTAGAAGGAAGGTGTAAGAGACCCAGGTACCGAAAGCAGAATACAAGCAGTTTACTCAGGGATGCGAGAGATGCTTTAATGGGGAATTTGCCACTTTTAACAACTGACCTCGGCTGACAGAGCAGATTCCATCCTGCTCTGCTCCTTCCAGGAATGCAGACTGTTTTTGTCAAAAGCTATGCTGAGATCCAGCCAAGATGGAGGCGGGATAAACCACAATGAGTACGGGAAAATCCAAGATTTTAGGCAGCAGTTCCAGACATCTATGTGGTCTTGAAAACAACAGCTAGCAAGTAAGGGACTTCCCATTTACCCACACCATGGTCAAGACACAGAGTTTGGAACTGAGTTTTAACTGCTGACAGCACTGAGGGCTGTAGGAAGGTGGATTCATCTCACTCTCTCTATCAGAACCATTGCTTATGTTCTGTGATCACCAGCAGATGACCATGGATACACATCCATGACCAGAGCATCCAAGCCCCTGAATTATTCACATATTTATCTATACACGAAAAAGAAAATGCAGAATTGCAGCCAAAAGTCTGGGTGAATATTCCATCCAGCTGCCAACCCCAACTGCCACATTTCTCCTCTCTTCTCAAACTGCTCCCAGCAGAGCTACAATAAAGAATAATTTTTTTTTTTTAAAAAAAGAGAACTGTCTGTGTTTATCCCCTCTCTCAGTTCCTGCCCTGTTTCAAGAAGATGCTCCCTACAGAGGCCCACATTCTTATTTTAGCACAAAAAAGAACTTGTCCTTGAGCAGACCAACCAATGCAGTAATATGAAGATTTGAAGATATGAAGATACACAGCTTGCTTTCAGTGGGTGCAAGCAGGACCAGGAGGCTGCTTCTCTGATACTAATCTCTATTTTGCATTCGGATTACACGTATCATTTACTTCAAAAATGCAGTCTGGGCATCTAATGTGATAGAAGGATAACTGCAGAATTCAGATAGCGACTCCTAAAACCACAGACAAGATCATGAAATTCAACACACTGCAGGCTTGGTGTCTGTGTCTCTGCAAACCAGAGCACCAGCCAAGCCTCTTTATCTTACTTAGGGACAGAACACCAAACCTTTGTCTGAATCCAGATGTCAGATGAGAAATATTATGGATCCACTTGGCTCTGCGCTTACTGAAAATGTAATTACGTGAAAGCCTGGCAGCAATGCCATGAAGAGAGGGGATTTCTACCCCAACTCAACCATTGCCACTAGCTTCCAGATGCCAAAGGACTGCAGTGCTGAACCTGCAGAGTCCAGGAAGCAGCTCAGCCCTCCTCGGTTTGGTTGGTGGGCTCCATGTCCAAAGCAGACAGGGACACTGTTTGGCTCCTGGACATATTCAGCAGGACCAAAAAAAACCTCTGTAGAGACCTTTCTCCTGCCAAGATGATAACTTCTCAATTTGAGTATTGAAAACCGCATGGAAATCTTCTACTGCAATGATGTCAGGGGATGCAATGGATGGGAAATTGTGCAGAAGCAAGAAACCCCACTGCTTTTGGGCAAACAGTGAACTCCAAATACAAAAAAAAAAACAAAAACAAAACAACCAAGAAGCTTACTTCAATTTAAGGCTGTTTGGTGAGGCGATTAAAAAAGGCTGTTGTGCATTTCTCCCAGCTGACATCATGTGCACCACCAGAATCACACTCCTGCTGCAGGCAGGATATCCAGAGGGTAGTGATCTAATTCCTCCATCAATAATGCTGTTGTGAACCTCAAGTGGAACTGCTGCAGATTTCTTTATTGATGGTAACTGAGATTAGTCAGGCAGCGGATCAAGAAATCAGAGGTACACACACACACACAGCGCTTCTATGCCAGAAATCCTGGCAAAGCACTCCCTTGGGGAAAGGCAGCAGTTTAAGCTCTTTTCCAGTCCGTAATGGAAAAGCAAAAAAATCAACCATCGCACACACTGGAAAGTTAAATATCCCCGTGCTTACAACACACATATCAAAGTCTGGAATCTGCATGGAGCTGTTTTACTGCAGGGGGAATTTTCATCCTTTGCTACCTGTTCCTGTAAAAATGGAGCACTTCCCCTGTTTAGAATCATAGAATGGCCTGTGTTGAAAGGAACCACAATGATCATCCAGTTTCAACCACCCTGCTATGTGCAGGGTTGCCAGCCACCAGACCAGGCTGCCCAGAGCCACATCCAGCCTGGCCTTGAATGCCTCCATGGATGGGGCATCCACAGCCTCCTTGGGCAGCCTGCTCCTGTGTGTTTAGAAAGGCTTGGTATGGGGTTAAAAATACAACAGGGGAAAAAAAAAAAAAAAAAAAAGAAAAGGAATAGTAGAAAAATGAGACGTCCTCTTGCCTCAGGAAAGGCAGCGATGTACAGTGTAAAGAGCAGCCCGGAAGGCTCTCCAACCACATTTTCCACATAGTTGGTAGCGTGCACTACTGCAAAACCAACCGGAGGTCAACCGTGCAGTGCTTTCCCTCAGAGATAGCACAGATAGGATGAACTCTTTTGAGCCCAGTGCTCAGCATGCTCTGTCCCAGAGGAGGCTGCTGCCATCCAGCTGGCTGTCAGGCACACCACTGCCTCTGCATGATCCTTTTGCTTCTTCCCACTGCACAACGCATCGTGGCACTCACTTGGAAAGACTGACATCTATGAGCTCTATCAGTTTGCAATTGCCACTGAAGCCTGACTTCAAAAAATCATGACTGTCACCTCTCAGAGGGCTGAGCTCTGCAGGCAAACTAGGACAAATCTTCCTGAATTTGGGCCAGTTTGAAAAATCTAATTCAAAGAGAAAAGCCTGAATCTGCAACATATTGCAAATAAACAGCCTCTAGAAGAATCAAGGTCAAATTTCTGAGTGCCTGTTTCTTTAATGTTTATTTTTATTCTTTCTTCTTTTTAAACCGAGATCTTTGAGCAATTAGCTGATGTTTTAAGACTTCTTTGCTCAGGGTGTGACAAGAGCAAGGCTGAGTCATTTTTTACAGCAGCAAAGTTAAATATTGCCAGCGAGTTCACATGGAAAACAGATCTCTCCCCTATGATTCAAACATTTATTCTGAAGTTTATTCAAACTGAATTATCCCATTAGTAGGATTCTGTTTTCCTTCTAAACAGGCATGCAGTTTGATCAACTCCTGTCCAGAAACATCCCGGATTTAGCTGTCTATCTGTCATTAATACATAGAATGACATAGGAAGGGCTCTAAATCTCATGACTGAACCCAAATAAGTCAAGGTCATATATGTGGACTGTAGTCCCTACCATTTACATTGCTGTCTGGGATCCTGCAAGACAGCGTTGGCAGGAAAACAGAGAACAGAAAAGCTTGGAATGCTACGAAAATCTCTCTGCTTAGTTTCACTTGACACCAAAGCAGAATCAACATCCACAACCCCACTAGTTGAGCAAACAGATGCTCAAATGGCAGTGGGATTGATGCTGTCAATCCCAAAATTTCCCTCAACTCGGAGCTCTGATGCTCCTATTCAACTGCAGTTCATCTGTACATTGAAGGGGAAAATGGAAGATGTCTGATAACTAAAATGTGGGATAACGGTACAAACAAAATGCTACACACAGTCCTACAAAGCAGTAACAGTGAGATATTTTTCATTTCTGAATGAAAAAGACTTGAATAATACAAGATTAAGAGAATGAAGAATGCAGCCTTATTATACAAAGATACAGAATAGTCACGAAATGTAATAATATCCTGCACGAAAACAGTGCCACTCATCCAAAGATCTCACGTCACCATTACTATATATTAATCCTTCCAACAGCTATGATGCAAGAAATTTAAAATTCCCACATTTTATAGTGGAAGAAACATGCAAATATGAAGATGCAAATACGTTCCCCAATGAGTCAAAATGCTATCAGTGACTAAGTAGTCAAAAGATCTTGCCAGCCTAAAATGGCTTTGATTACTTTTTCTCGGCCTCTGTGTCCCATCACAAACCCATTTTGTGGGGTTAAGCGTGATCTGATCAAACGTGACACGCACAGTGCTGCTCCAGAAAGCTGAGGTGCCCTCAGTGAGTGATAGTAAAGGCTACCAGTTACCTTTTACTGATGAAGATTTGTGGTTGGGAGGAACGTACAGTTAACAGATGTAAGCTTGCTCTACCTATGCTCCAGCCAACCCACCTGTCTGCATGTGCTCTACCTGAGCTAAGAGACCCAGGGCAAGAGAAGGATTGATGTGCTCAACTAACACAGCCATGCTAACATTCCTGGCAGCACAAAACTCGTAACCAGGATGTACCACAGAAGCCTAATGAATGATTTACCTGGGATCACAGAGAAGCCTATAGCAGCACTTATCTCCCTATAAGCAAAAGTCAATGATTCCTTTTCACAGCAGAAGCCTGGCTCACACATCAGTGTTAAAACAGCCAAGTGCAAGGTGCCACACAGCATCTTGCTGTGGCCTCATGGTTTACACCTTCCAATCCAGCACTGACACGACAGCCAACTTCACAGCTTGTGCTCTGAATGGGTGGCAAACCACAAGGCTCTCAGCTGAGAAGAACCACCCCGAGCCATGTGGTGCACAAACATAATTATTAACACGGTGCTCCTTTGAAAGAACATCTCTTCAGATAGGTAAATGGCTACTTACTGTTTTTGCTGGAGCACTACCTGGTAGTGGGCTGGTCTCGATGAAGTACTTCCTCAGAAGGTGCTTGCTGGACTCAGGGCTGTCCATCAGGATGTAGGAACAAAAGAAAGCCCCATTCCGCAGTAAGAACACAGCCACATCTTCATTCCCTTTGGAGAAAAGGCAGATTGTCTGTTCTCTGTTTCTCAAGCAAACGAATCAACAAGGAGCTGAACAGAAATCCTGGGAAATAACCACTTCTGAAAAAAAACCATGGGGGTGTGAAAAAGGGAACTGAATATATGGACTATTTCCTCCACTGATAAGATTCAGTTTAGTCAAACTGAGACACCAAAGGCACTCTATATAAACATCATCCCAAGATCCATTTCCTTTCTCCTCTTTTCACCCCCCATCTTGTTAAATTACACACAGTTGTGCTTTGAAGTGTGAATTATTCAGCCTAAAATCAAGCCTGTGTGCCACGGTATCTGCATCAGTAACGCTTTTGCTTGAAAGTTTTCTATTTTTGGAGGGTCGTTTCCCCAGGAGTTTAAAATTAATGAGGAAAGTTCAGTCTCTCAGCATTTGCAGGAATCTCACTAAGAAAGGCCCTGACTTCAGTTTGGCTAAGTCAAACGGTTCAGAGCCAATTCTGTTTTAATTTATCTTGCTGGAAATCCAGAACAATCCCAGACAAGCCAGCCCACACTAATAGTGTTCCCAGGTTGGAACAACTCAGCCTATTCCTTGAAAGACTTTGCAGAAGAGGGACAAAGCTTTGAGGCATGCAAATACATACCTGCTTTTATAGCAGCATACAGAGGCAACCGTATAAGAACTGGGAACTCATTCCTCCTGACTGCACAGCTCTCGGGGTCAGCACTGTATGCACGAATCAGCAGCTTCACTATGTCCAAATGTCCCTGCTGGCAGGCGATGGCCAGCATCCAGTTCAGGAGCTGTTGGCAAGTATTGGGACCTACCAAGAAGATAAGGCATTGACTCAGTTGATGCCATTGTGCCAGACTCACCCGTAAATATGGTTGTGAAAAGACCTGATGCTCCAGGGTTGGCGACTCCCCCACCTCCCTGGGCAGCCCATTCCAACACAGGATGTGCTGCCAGCTGTGCAACCCAGGCTGTTACCCAGCAGGCAGCCGTGCTGCACTCACTCCCAGCACTGCTGTGCCTGCACCATCAGCAGAGTGGGACGATGCTGTTTCCTGAAAATCCCCTAATTTCTCTGTGTGTTCTGGGACATCATCCAGCTGCAAGAACTGATGGGAATGAACTGCCTAAATGACAGCTTTGCAAACATACATGTTTTTATTCACGTATTTTTCTCCCATGGATAAAGTTATCTTAAAACACAGCAGAGATTAGATCCCTCCATGATTGCATCCCACGACTGAGTTCCCTCATCTTTCAAGGGATGGGATAAAAATAAACATCTGCTCAAACCTATGGCAAACAGACACCGAATGAAAGGGAGAGGCAATCCAATAGTCTCACCACGCAGGGAATCCAGCAGTTCTTTCACAACATCCTTATGTCCAAAATAGGTGGCAACCACAGCTGCGTTGTCATCATTAGGTTCAGTTGGTAACACCACTAGTGCTTCCTTCAGTAAATACCTCACTGCCTGCAGATCTCCATATGCTGCTGCGATACCTAAAAGCTGACACTGGTAAAGAAAACACAGCAAAACAAACTCTCTGATTTTATTTTGCATCTCTGTGAAGGGAGCGAGCAGAGAAAGATAGCATTTCTAGAGCTATATATTTATCTGTGCTCGTGCAATTGCATACGTACTGTCACTATGGTTAACTGAGAACATCATAAACACCAGTAGTCACTGTAATTAATTAGATTAATTAGCCAGTTTTGCTTGTTTTGTTTTTTTTCCTGCGTGACTTCAGTGCAAAAGCAGAGTGTGCTCACTGAATGTAGGACTGGGTTCCATGCTAAAGCAGCTTGCAATGCTTGCAAGGGCTCTGCCTGCTCTCTACCAGCATCCTGACAACACGAGCTGCAGTACATCCCTTAAAGATCAAGTTATACACACACCTGAAAAGCAGGGCACATTAGCTGGAGGTCAGTGCTGTTTTCAGGTGGTAACACAGCCTCTCAATCAGAGCTGGCCTGCATTTGGAGAGCAGGCAGAAAAACCCAGGACTCTCTGCACCTGACGAAGCCAACACATCCCCACACACCCAACAAACTAGCAGCGTGGTGTGCAACATTGACCTCAGCTCCACCATTTGCTTCAATGTGGGATGTGGGATTTTCCCCCTGTGGTTCCAGTCCTCGATGCTGTTTCTACGTATGCTCTCCCCCGAGGTTCATCTCACCTTTCTGATCAGCTTTCAAGGCCAGAAAGGCTTGAGAAGGAGCAGTGAGCCAACCCTACCTTTTCCACCTGCAGCGCAGTCTCCTCACACGACAACTTAATCAACTCTTGGGCTTTAGCGGCGTCTCCAGCTTTGTAAGCAGCCTGAATGCTTTCTGTCACGGGTGTCTGAGTTATGGAGACTTCGCCAACCGTGGACTGTTTGCCACCCATGCCCACAGTTCCTATAGCAAAAATAGAAGAGAAGAATCATGAAGAAGTCCCTGACCATTACTCCTGTACAGCTACAACCCCGATGCGTTCTGGCAATACAAAAAGTGGAGAGTTATCTTCAGCAGAATGTTTACCACATACCATTTTTTAAAAAGAGGGAAAAAAAAAAAAAGTTGACACTAACTTTTCTGGTATAGGAAAGTGATTGTATGCTACAGTACTTTCCAGAAGGGACGCGAAACTGAAAGGGATGGAGAGTTCCCCAGTTGCTCCCAGAGGTGGTTTCCAAAGGAAGGTGTGAGGGATGCTCCACTGCAGCCCACACACTCTGGTACAGAAACATCAGAGGGGAAGAGCTTACAAAATAGAACCCCACTGTACTCCTCCAGCACTTCCCTCCAGAGATTTATACAGCTTCAGTGAAAGGCAAGACACTGAAAAAATCTGACTCTGGGAAGACAGAGCAAAGGATTACACGAGATGCCCGGTGCTACCTTGGTCAGTCTTGGCAAGTCTCTTAGGCCAGACTTGTTCTTTTTTTAATGCTTCTAGGAGCCAGAATAGTTCTTACAAATCAAAGATTAAAAGCTTCAAACCATTAGAGGAGATGACTGCAGTGGCTAACAGAGCCAGCCATGAAAACATCGTCCCCCACTCCAACCACAAGGATGGGAAAGCTGCACACTTCAGCAGGAAAGCCACCAAGTTAATGGCAAGATGCTCAGGTCCACTCCTGATTCTGGCACTGATCTCCTGGGCCCAGCTTCTCCTTTCCTCACTCACATGCTGAGGCTGCAGACCCTCTGGGGTCACGATGCTCCCTCCCCATGGATCCTCCCAGTGCCCAGCACAGGGGCCTGGAGCGGAGATGTCAACCTGACTGCACTGAGAAGTACAAATAAACACATGGACAGAGAACAGAATCAATTTTCACTTGAAAAGAGACTTTCACATTCCTTTTTTTCCCCTACTAAAACGTTATTGCTTATTTACAATTGGTTAAACCAAGACCTTCAAGCCCACACATTTCCATGAGTTAACAGGAAATGCACATGCAGGGGCTAGTTTAATGCAGTCTGGAAAAAGAAGTAAATTTGGACCAACACATAACTGTCAGTAAATACTTTTGAATAATGCAGTCTGAAATCACCAATACATTCTGACTAACAGCTCTCATCAATTATTTAAACAGAGCTCAGATCACCCAGACATCGGAGACAGCTCCAGAGATTCATGCCATTAAGATGTGCCCACATCAATAACCTTGCTCAGATGATGTAGGACATGTGAAGGACAGATGGACGTGATGCTAAATTACTGCATGATAAACAGCAGCCTGGAGTTCATGCAAAATGGGTGCAGTGCCTTCAATGCCTCATAATTCTGTAGTTTTAGGGAGCATATGGGAAAATAAATCATCCAGTGTTTGCTCCAGGGAGCAGACCTGCAATGGACTTCTAAATATTTTGTTTATGTTTTAATTCTCTTTTTCAAAAGACAACAAAGTAGGAAATGCAAATGATTCCTGTGCAGGTAACTGTTTAAAGGGGATGGAAAAAAAAAGAACTTGAAAGCAAAAGTGTTCTCCAACCCAACAATTCAGAACTGGTCTAAGTAAAGACGCAAGCAAACACTGCAGTGACTTTGAGACACAGCCTCAGTGCACTCAGCAGCCTGTGATGAAATCCTGAGCCTGAGGAGAAGAGCTGGAATTCCCCTTGGAGGAAAGAATGCCTTACATCAGAGATCCAAAACAGCTGGAGAGCTGAGCAGGAAGTGCAGCAGAGCAGGGCTGATAGAGCTGACAATTTTAAGCTCGTTCCTAAAGATAAATGCTGAAAGGAGGGACTGGTTCTATTTCCTTTTGGCCTTAACCCTGATTTTGGAGACTAGCACTCAAGAGCCACACCTGGAACCAATCCCAAGCACACAGGCACATCCTTTCTGACAAAGGATCAGCAGGGCCATCTTTCTTCCTATATAAAACACAGCCAGGGAAAGTAAAACGTGAGTGTCTCATGATCAGAAGCCATGCTGGAAGGTCCCAGCATCACCTTCTCATTGATCAAACAGGTCTCCAGGCACCTCTCCCACATGAGCTTTTCTCATGGGAGCATTTTCCACCCCTCTTTCTGAAACAGCCCCGTTGTGCAGTGAGGACAAGCAAACCAGCAGGGCCAGGGAGCACCATGAGGACCCCATTTCTCCAGCTGCAATGTGGATTGCATTAGCAAAACTTCGTCAATCACAAGCTTGCTGTAACACTATCTATAATGCAATGGAAAGCACATCAACAATGGCCAGATAGCCAAGCCCTAGGCTGTTGCACCTCCTCTTCCAAACCTGCCCATCGTTAAGTAATTCGTGAGTAAGAAGTGTATATTACCAAACAAACTATGTGGAAGCTGAAGAAATGAGATGATATTTCAACTGTGAGTGAGGGAAGGAGGAACTCAGTGGCCTAGACCTAATACCAAGATCGCTTCTGTTTTACCCAGTGACTGCTTCATGAAAACACTTGGCAGATGCATCATGTTCCTCTTACACTTTTGACCCCTTCAGAAATTCTTTAAGTCCTTTCCAGTGCAATGGTGTAGTTATAACAATATACTGCTTGTACAACAACCACTGCTTGGAGAACATGGGCTGGTCATCACCTGTGGCCAACTTCTGGGCACTTCTGCAGTCACAAATGGCTGTTCCATGGAGGTTATGTGATCCCAGAGTTAGCTATCAGAGTCTTCAAGATAGCAGATTTTGGTCCCAACACGAAATGTTAACCTTGTCTCAGGCAAATCAGAAATTTTTAATTGATCTAACCAAAACTTATTAGTGCACAGGAACATCCAGCAAGTAAACGTCAATAAAAGCTTCATTGAATCTAATGATGTGAGCAATGCTACTCTTTGATATATTTAAATATTATTGGCAGAAAGACAGCATTGCTCATCATTGATGTTTGTCATGCAGCTGTCATAAAGATTTCTTGATTGTTGTATTCTACAGAGTAAACTGACTCCCCACCTATGACCTGAGGCAGAGGCATGAAAGATCTTCAATGAAAAAATACCTTGCAATTGAACTAATTCCAAACTTGCAAAGGGCAAAACTGATGAGTTAGAGAGTGACAGAAATCTTGCCCTCAACCAACAGCTCTACCCACGTGGCTTTGTAGAAGTTAACTGGAGCTTTCAAACACTGAGCCAACCATTCTGAGCTTCCCAAAAAGCATAGAAGCCATCCGCTGCAAAGCTAAGCATCTTGTGAACCAAATCACCCACTTCAGAGAGGATTTTCTGGTGACTTTAGAAATAATACATTGATTTTTGACACGCAGATGAAAAAATAAGAAGCAGCAAGATTTATAAGCTTAATTTATACTCATCGGAAGGGGAAGAAAAAGTGGAAAAGTACATTCTACTGGAGCATTTTATTTCTAAAAGATGCATGCCTGAACTATCATCAGTACTGCACTCACGTAGGTTGGGAATAACATTTTGCCAGCATATGTATCAGTCATTTTTAGCAAAAATCTGGGCTAAAATCCAAAGAAATTCTGCCTACACCTTTAACCCCACGAACTGCATGCTCTTTACTCTGAACACTTTGTGGCTTTCCTACCAGGATCTGCTCACATTGATCGTGGAATGTGCTGCAATAACGTCTTCCTAATTCTTCGAATTAGGTTGGAGCAGGTTTAGGAACCAGCTTCACACTTTGCTCAGTAGGGTTTACATTAATATTTGAGAATGTATATGGCATAGTGAGTTATGATACCGTGTCAATATTTCTTGGGTACTCCTGTAATAAAAGGCTACTAGAGACTCCAGAAGCTTTTGTGCACGCACTTCCTTTAATTCCTTGTGATTTCCTTGAATGTTTGCTGAATTGGCCATAAATCAGAGTTCCTGGGATGCTTTAAAGTTATGGCCTCATATGGCCCTCCTTACTCCAGAGGCTGCATCAGGGAAGCAAATAAACGCAGCCAATTTGAACTGAAGCAGAAGACTTGGGCTCACTTCTCACACACATCTGAATTTCCATGAAGCTACGACTACAGGCTTTACTCTCTACTATTCAGCCCCTTATCTCATTTATTTAAATTCTCCATAGATCCACAGTTTCTTTGCTTACTTTCTACTAATGACCGTGAGCAAACCAAGCCCTGTTTGTAAAGGAAAAACAAGGGATCAACTTAAATGAGAAGCACATCCTTCATCTACTCGCCACATCACTTACCAGCCTGCACTGCAGCACCTAACTCTGAAATCAAGAGCATGTCCAGCGTTTAATTCTTTGGGAGTAGTTTTTAAGTTTGCCTTTGGAGAAACAGCCCTTCACAAAAGCTAAGACTAATTTTCTATCAAACATATTAAAATGGAAACAGTGGTTGTCAATAAGAAAGCAGCGTTATTTTATTGCTGTTCATATGCTACAGCAGAATCAATTTAAAAATGCTGAAGACTGTGCAAGAAACGAAATAAAATGAAGTCTAATTAATAATAAAAGGCACCATGACAATGCCAGAGATGGATGCAGTTATCTCCAGACTCAGGCCTTGTTATTAAAGCAGGTGAAAGAAAGACCCAACATTTCTAGATTTACAATATGCCATCACCTGCAAGGAGGTAATGGCTTGCAGGTGATGCTGTGAATCAGCAAACAGCTGCATCACTGAACGGTACACATATAGATTATTGTTACCTTTATGTCCCAAATTGCTGCAGTCCTGCCTTTGACACATAACCCCTCGCAGTTTCTAAGTATTACATTCGTTCCTTTGATAAGACTGGTGTTTTTGGTGAGTGATATTTTTATTTATCAGAGAAAGATATAAACGAGATGCTCAACACAGGATAAAACTGGGAAGAAAGCTACACCTTACTTCAATCCAGACTTACAATAGCAGAAAGACTTTAAAACTGCTACTGACCTTGTCATAATTTGTGCAGGTATTCCCAGAGACAGAAGCAAATCAAGATGATGGCTTTAACACAGCCTCCCATCCAGC